CATATTTGACAATATTAAAATTATAAAATTTTGGAAAAAAAAAAATTAATTTCGTTTTCTACCAAATGGCTAGATCGATTCGCCTGTTGATGCTGATCAAGAATATATATGATTTATAGGGTCGGAAATGACTCCTTCTCAGCGTTTTAAGCTTCTGACTAGAATTATAATACCTTGCAAGGTTATAAATATATGATCTACTTTGTGGAGTTTAAAGGGAGAACTTTAAATATCTAATACTAATGGTTTTAATAATTGGTATGCAAATATTAAGATTTGTTTTAAGGTCATTTAGAATTATATAATCTTAAAACAACAATTTATCCTACAACAAATATATCCTACAAGATCTTGAACAATGGCTAACATATAAAATAATATAATAATAATAAATAAATAAAAATATACTTTTATTTTGGTATACTAATTAAATATTTACATTTTCTTTGTAGCACTTGATTCTTGCGGCTTTATTTTTACATTGAGATCATGGAGGTCAAATACTAGCAGATCTTTCGACTGTAATATGATATACTCTTCCGTAGCTTTTATATGGATTGGATTATATATGGATTCGCTAATAATATGAATTGGAGTATAGAAGAAATCCCCTTTTTCTTTATCCCAACTTAATATGGATTTAAGCTTTTAAAAATTACAACTTGTAAGAACACGCTATGACCAAAGCTAATATATTTAATACCTTTCAATAAAGTATCTTACTTTTTTCTCAGTGCACTGCACCATTGTGGCGGCATGTCTTGGAATACCAAATTTTATAGCGGTACACTGCTAAATATTTTGCAGCAACAGGCAACAACACAGGGACAGAGACAGAGAGAGGCAACAGCAACAGTAACAACCACAAAAAAATAACTGACTACGTGCGGGGGCGGAGGTTTGTTTTTATAGCCGCCCAGCCAACCGCCCAATCGGCCCTCCCCCTTCGCTTGGAATACATATATACACTATATAGTCATGTATATATATATATGTGGATGTATGTAGCACCACCGGTTTGATCTTGGGCATTCATTCCGCATGCGGCACTATAATTTATAACAACTGCTGAAGGCGACTCTCGCAGCTCCAACTCTTTGGATTCTTCTCTTTTTGCAGAGTTCCAGTCTTGCAGCCTTCCAGCCTTCCAGTCTCCCAGTCTCCGAGTCTTTTCAGTTTCTTTTATTTCCTCCCCCTGACCGGCGTACGCGATGCGTTCATCCTTTGTGGCCAGAAATTGTAGTGCATTGTTTGGCATTACCCTGGGGTATAACCCTTTTTTAGAAAGGGTATCTTTTGACTTTTAATAAAAATAAATTATTTAAATTTGTGTTTAAATCATTGATTAAGAGAATTTCTCAAAAGATTTAATAAACGGTAAGTAAAAGTATTATCTTGTGAACGGTAAGATAAATTCCTTCACTAAAACTGCCTCTGAATGGGTTTCCTTTCTCCCAATTTATTTAATTTAATTTATAAACATAATTATTTTTTAATTATTCCCCATGTAATAGCACTTTGTAGGGTATTCAGCTATCAGTATAGTCCTGCTCAGCCTCAATTCTGTGGAGTGGCAGGCACGCCTCTATCTGCAATGTGCGATCTATTGCGACGGGCGCTTTCCTTTGAGCGGAGCAACTTGGAGCATGCGATGACTGCGCGGAGCCTGGCTGGGATTGCCTGGGATTGGATGGTCGGATAGGAGGATAGTAGGGTCTTTGCCTCCTGGTATGGAGCCAGGAGGGAGCATCTAATGGCCCCAAACGGACGCAGCTCCATTTCAACCGAGATTGATAGCAGTTGACGTTCGGCTTGGTTTCCTTTTCAAAAGGATTTTGAAAGAAACGCGCAGGCAGCAGCCTTTATGATACTGCCAGGTGAAATATATATATATATATTTCTGATCTGAATAGATATTCTTTCTTTCAACGCTGCCCCTGGACAGTGTGTGTGTGTCTCTTTTATTTTCCGGCATGATTTATAGGAAGCGATTGCGCATTTTGCAAATTACGATGTCTCGGGAGCTCTCTCGGGGATTTACCCTCGATGCCTGCCTCCTTCCCGGGAATTATTAATCCCTGAATGCAGGCGATGGCAACAACAATAACATCATCATCATCATCATCATGGATGGAGACTGCTAGCTGCTCCTGCCCCTCAGTTGATTGAATCTTTTATGTGTGGATTTAGGAGCCATCAGCAGACGTAGCCAGAGTTGAAATTAAATATTTATTAAATCGACAGCACACACACACACACACTATAGCACTATAGCATATAAATCAGCTTAAAAACTATTCAATGAATATTCCAATCAATAGACACAAAATATCCCAAAAGGGGAGGCGCTGCTGGTTACTGAAGCTTTAGAAAATCTCTGACCCCTGGACCAAGGTCCAAGGAGGAAATTAAAATGTTCACCAAATGATGGACAAGTCTGGCTTAGTTAGATTAGTGGAAATTGTAAATTCACCCAAGAGAATATAAATATATATAAAAATAAAGTATGAGTTTACTAAGATCATTTAAATATATATTTCTAGGGAACTACAGCAGTAAAAATACCTTTACATGCTTTTCTCACATTTAAATTCCTTCCTAAAAATATAGATACTTTTCTTCAAGTGATAAAATCTCTTCTAAAGACATTCCCCCTTTTTGTTGGTGCAACCTTTCAACTTCCTGTCGAGAATCTATTGCAGCAATTATGTCCTTTTCTTGCAAGGACCTGCGTGACGAGTGACCAAGCGACCAAGAGACCGACCAGCAGACAAGGATGCCGGTCCAAGGAGTCGAGGTCCCTTGCCCCCAAGTCATTGTCCTCGGGTTACACTGACCAATTTCGAAACGCAAAAGGTACAAATTGAGCTGCACTCACCTGGCATCTGGCAGCTGCCAAAAGGGGTTATGGGTTTTGCAGTTCGACTTGGAGTTCGAGTTAGTTTAATTAATTCAGCATCAGCATCGACATCGGCATCGGCATCCGAATGAAGGCTGTAAACAAGCCGCCTTTGACAGTTTACTCGAAAGAGGTGTACAGGCACTTGTCGTCAGTTGTCAGCTGAGACTCAGGGAGGGAAAACCCCGAAATCACACAGAAAACTGAAAACTAAAAGAACTTTAACCCTTGACCCTTGGCTGAGCGGAAGAAGCAGCCCCTCGAGTGCCTTCAATTAGCGCTTTGGACACAGATATTAGTTGGAAAAACAGTTACTCCAATTTTTAATGGCAGCTTTTTAGTTATTTTTTTAGCCTTTTGTAACAGGGAGATAGAGAGAGAGTTTGGTGTTGGCACATCTAAGACTTGTACTACATCTTCGGAGTCTGTGTCGGCTGTCATAAAAAAGATCTTCGAAGGAAAAACTAATTACACAAGTCGTAAATATTTAACAAACCACAAAAGGCAAAGCCAAATGAGAAGGGGGACTGACTCACGCCTTATAGTATATACGTATATTTAGCTATATGTTTATATAGGAGAATAATCAATGTTTTGATTAGATTAGATTTCTGGGAAACCAAAATATTGTAATCAGCTTCCGGCTTTAAAATTATTACTAGTCAATTGTAATATTCCCAAAATATTCCAAGAAAATTTCCTGAAGTTTAGTTTATGTAAATTAACAATTCGGGGTTATTTTTGATTACTATTCTTTGGAAAAAGAAATCTATTATAAAATAATATTTTTATTCATTACTTCTTTCAGCTATTAGTTTATAAGTTTTAGTTACTTTTTCCTCTTCCATCTATGAAGATGGCCAAACCACAATTATTTTTAGACCGGCTAATATTGATCATCCAGCCGGGGCTTGATTGATCGCCAGGGATTGCAAAGCCGCAGAAGACTGACTCCAGCACAGACCATGATCATCGATTGCAGTGGAAGTGGAGGATAGAGGATCGCAGATCGCAGATCGATCCATTGGCCGGCGAAATAAATTGTTGCTACACGTATAAGACATCGTGTAGGACAAGTTAAGACAACGATCTGCTCGCCTCTGCAGCTTCAGCTTCAGCCGCAGTCAGAGCCAGACTCTGGCTCTTTTTGGCCAAGAGATCCGCATCACGTGGCGTTGGGCTCACCGCAGGATCGCCGGCAGATCCGAAGATCTTCTCCTTTGGCGTGGACACTATTGCGCAGTGTGTCTATATCATTAATTAATTTAATCACTCGAACATGATTCCGCTGTGCGCCTGTTCGCTGCCAGTTGTTCTCACAAAAGTTATTAATTTTCCGAGGAAAAGGCGGGGAAAACCCGGCGGAAAAACTAAGATAAGCGTTCGCTCACTTACACTTACTGCCTCTCTCTCTCTCTCTCTCTCCATCTCTATCTCTATCTCTGAATGGAACAGTACACACAATATAGATCTCTGATGCATATTGCTGAATAATCAGCGTCGCCGGCTTATCAGCTTCTTCTAGCAGCTCCCATCCCATCCCATCCTATACGATCCCATCCGATTCGATCCTCGGGCAGCATCCCATAAATATTAACGATCTTCGGGCGTTGCGAGATAAGAGATCATTTTATTTTGGTGACTGTCACGAGTGTAAAGTCGGGGAATTCGAATCTGGACAAACGAATGGACCCCAGAGATAGATTCCACTCACTTTCATTGGGTTTACAAAGGGTTTGTCTCTGGAATAGTCAGGGATTTGAGGTTCTGACTTTCCCGAGGAGTTTTGTGATGAACATAATGAAAATGTACAGGTCTTATATTTTGCAGAATTTCGTATTTTGCAATAATGATCAACAATTTTCAAACAATTCTAGGCGAGGTAATAGAACAGTATTATTAACAGAGACTCGAGTTTAAATTTCAAAATTAAAGCTCAGGAACGGAGGTTCTATAAGATATTTTATAGGGTTTTCTTTGTGATCCTCAAAAAGAACCTGAGGGTAATATTTTCTAGAATCTTCTGTAATCTTAACTCCACTGTCATATCAACGATATATCTTATAGATGTTTCTATGGGATTAATATAACCAAGACTTACATAGATCTTTAATTTCTCACTGCAATTTTTGGATTGTTTAAATCTATAGGAATATATAGAGGGATTTTCCTTTGGAATTGTTATTTTTCACTGTGCTCACTAGACTTCTACTTAGCCGTCGGCAAATGTTATTTTTAATAATTTTTTTTGCAACTCTTTCTGCTTTGAAAGATTAATAATATTTGGGTTGTCTCCACTTTTTGTTAAGGGATTTCCTTTAAGAGGGACAATTGCGAGTGCACTGGAATTTCCGCGGGATGACGAGACGCGCTCAACTTCGTTCGCCTACCAAACCGGAATGAGTCTCAAAAAGCAACTGAGCTCCAAGTCGGTTTCCAGTCGAAGTGGAAGTGTAAGTGGAATGGCGAATAGACGGGCAAAGGCACAAGGTGCACAGTGGGCAAAGGAATTAATTCACCGGATAAATTTAACATAAGTTTTAAAATAATTTTAATACCTACAATGTGACTCTTTAATTTATTTAAAAATATTATTTAATACATTTCTTTTTCTTTCAAAATAAAAGAGTTTTTATATAAATTGAAAATGTTGATATGGCATTTTTAATTTCTTTTTAAAGTCCGAAATACCAAATATAAAAATAAACAGAATATTATTAAATTCCCACTTTTCAAGCAACTTATCCCACTGTGCCCTGAGAATAAAAGAGCAGCGCCAGCGCCAGTGCCTTTGGGACAGTTTCCATTTGAGCCTGCGTTGGGCAGAAAGGGAGCGCATGCTTGCTGCCGGCAACCTAATTGGACCCCTCGTCAAGTCTCGCTCAGATCCCCAGCTTTATAGAGAGAGAGCTCCAAGTCTCTCACTCTCTCTTGGAGCCTCTCTCCCTCTCTGTCCCTCTCTGAGCAACCTGGTGCGAACGGGACGGCGGCTGAAGCAACACGTGTTCTTATCAGTTGAGTGAGAGCTTACCTCGAGTAGTTGAGTCTGATAGGAATTGAGTGGAGTGTATTCGATTTAAGTTTAATTTCATTAGATGCAGGTCCACTGTCTCTCAGTCATCGTGTGTATGAGTGTGGCTTGTGGTCACTCTGTCGGTTGGGGTTGCATCGCCTTGGCTCCTCTAATTGGTCAGTGTTCAGTGGCCAGCAGCGGTTTATGTACAAATAACAAATAAATGCATTGGGAAATCGCCCCTATCTTTGCTCGATAAATAACAAAAGTAACATAAAAAGGGTATTTTTTAGGGGAAATTAATAGTTGGAGTGAGGGTTAAAGAACTTTTGAAATATTGAAATATGTTCTGGGTTTCAGTTGTTGTTAAAACTTAATAGAATCTGTTAAATTTGAAATATGAAAGTTTAATCTAAGATATTTTTATATGTTAACTATTACATGCTTTTAAAAAATAAACATTGCAGAAGAGAACCTTTGGAAGTTTTTTTGGTTCAAATAAGTTATTAATTTTATAATAATATCGTATTAAATCAACATTATTTAAAGAATCATAGAACCCTTGGTCTACCTTCAGTTATATTTTAAACCGTACAAAAACTGCTCACTTTCGAAGGTTCCTGTTAAGGCCTAATTGAAGGTTAAAGTTAATTAAAACCTATACCGTATGAAAGCTAATATTTTAAGGAATCAAATAATATCTATATTTCATAAATGAAAACCCTGCTCCAAGTCAAAAACCTTTTAACATTTGATACACATTTTTGAACTTCCTTAAAATATAGTTAGTTCCAAGTTTAAGGGTTTGCTAAAGATTAATTCAACTTCTATGATTATCTAAATACTACAAGTACTACTAAATACTAAATAATTGGAATTTAATACATTAAAATCATGCTTAAAGCCCCGACAAGACTTATGCCTCAAGGCAGACAGACAGCAATTAGCGTTTGACTAACTCATGACAGACTGACATTTAAAGAAATCGTATATCTTAAAAAAACAGAAACAGAAACAGAAAACTTGACATTAACAGACAGACCCCTCAGGTATTTCCTAACCTCTAATATAGAATTTATAATATAATAATATATCATATATGTATACTTTAGAAGAGATTCTATCACATTTCCTGTTAACCAGAAACTGGGACATCAAATGCAATCCCTTTACCACATATCCCTAATCACTCTTGTCACTTCCTGTGTCCTCAAACATTTTCCCCAAAATTGCAACCCCATTTGACCAGTTTTTTGGCCAACTTCATCGGAGGAAGAAATAAGCACTAAAAGCCATTACGCACCGCTGTGAGATTGTAATCTAAGCCCTCGTTATTGGAGCAGGCAGAGCAGAGGGATTTAATTAGACAAATGTCCCACAATTTGTAATGTCATTTTTCTCAGCAGTTGCGGAAAATCCGAATGTAAAACTTTTCGGTGTTGAAAATGCAAAAGGTGAGTGCCAAGATGAAGAGCTGGGCGGCGTGGAGGGGGAGGCAGAGCTAACACCCCGAAGTAAGGAGGAAATATGTCTAATTTTGCACCATGTGGACAGTGGTCATTATTTTTGGCCAGCGAGATGGTAATATGGGAGGGCGGACGGTGGGGCTTACAGAAATCTTTGGCAAGCCAGCATTACACCTCGTCCTCTTTCTCTTGCTCACCGTTTACTCTTTACACGGGAAGAAATTTCATATATCAAAAGGGTTTTATAACTCAATGAAATAAGATCTGGTTTTGTAAGATGCTACGATGCTTTTAAAGGCAACTTTGAATCGAAAACCAAAAAAAGAAGTTCCCGAAACTCAAGAAATGTAATCTTAAATCATAGAAACACCTATTGATACATTTTCTTATAATAATTTTAAAATTTACCAACTTTGATGCGTAATTTCTCCGCGTGCTTATGTGTGTGAAACCGCATGCGGTCCCCTCGACAAAAAATGAGATTTGCTGACCGGTGGTCATTAAAGCACATTTACAATGAGCCAAGCCATGTTGGCTTGTGGCTAACATGGTCTTAGCCACAGCCGCCGCCCCTCGGCCACCTCCTGGCCAACGAAGTTTCCCCACAAAACGGCCAGAGACAAGCGATCAAATCGATGCCGAAATTAATTTATCTTTGGCACTCTTTGGCTACCAAAATTTGACAAATTGCAAATGTATTTGAAATTGACTGCAAGTTGTTAGATCAAGCTTCTCTCGAAGTGGAAGTGGAGGCGGAGGTTGGCAGGGGCATCGCTATAAATTGAACAAGCTAAATCCTGATACTTGATTAAATTTACATTCGACTTTTGCAATAACTTGGCATTTTAATTATGTTGTTTAATCGCAAAAGAAGGGGATTTTTTTGGGTAAGAGGAAAGCCAGCAAGATGAAAATATTGGTAGTAAGTAAGGTTTTATTAATCAGGATTTTGGGAAATTATTTACTATATTTAAAAGCAGTAAATAATCTCTTAATATTTATTCTATTTGTTATTCACAGTTTGCATTAACTACTCTTGACATAAGGGAGACCCCTTTAATTAATCATTTGAAGCTGTGAACTTTGTAAGATTTCCCTGGCAATTGTCTGGAGTAAACTCAATCTTCATATAGGAGGGCAGCATCCTCCTCCTATCCCTCGATCTTCTCCAGCTTCATAACTCACCCAGTTGATTGCACTAATTGGCAATGAGCGTGACGATCGACAACAAGACTGATGAGGGATTGGGAAAAAGGGGAAACCGAGGCTGGATGAGACAAGCTTTTCATTCATAAAAAAACACACATTCGCTGAGTGGACCGGAAGTTCTTATTTGATTGCAAATTGTGATAGGTTCCAAGAAAAAGTGTAAACAAGAGCTTATCAATAATGTTTCAGGATCATTATATGAAAATACTTGAAGAAGTTGAGAGAAAAAGTGTTGTCAAGAGCTTGTGACTATAAATTAAGTACAAAATAAAGATCTTTCTGATTAATGATAATAAATGGTATAATTTAAAGACTTTCTTTGAACGATATGTCTTATATTGTATACATAGATAGAGTATCTTTTATTTCAGCTCTTTCTTAATCAATTCTCTGCCCAAGTTCACTAGTGTTAATTAAAGCAAAAGCAAAAAAGAGTCTTAATTATTGTTATTCGTTTGTCACAGGGGAAGTATTTCCGCCTAGAGTGAACATACACACAGCTGCTCCCGTAGAGGAATACGTACCATTGCCAAAGGGGATCACATTTCCGTGGCCAAGATCAGAGTTCAAATGCAGGCAGAAATATGTAAATGTAAATGCAGGGCGCTTACCTCTGCCTCTACCGCACCGCGTGGAGCGATAAAAACAAATCGAAAAGGTAAACCACTGCTAACCGATTTCCACTTCAATTTCGAGGCTGGGTCATAAACTTGCCAGCATATTATTGGCGTTGGTGAGCAGTTCTGTAAGGGAATGGGTCACGAGCCCGGCTGAGGCTAAGGCTAAATGCTTGTTAAAGGGCGGACTGGCAAATTGTGTGGCAACCACAGAAACAAATCAACCCGAAGAGGAGCTTCAGAGCAGCTCCATCCCAGCAAATTGGCAAATTCGATTTGCAATTTTTGTTGTGAGAAGGAGGAGGAATGAGAAGCCTTGGCTGCTGCTGCTGCTGCTGGGTTGAGCAAACAATTTAGAATGAAGTGCAATCGGGAGTCAGAAAAGTTGATTTGCAATTTCATGGCAGCGCCAATTTGCACCTCATCATCATCATTATTATTATTCCGGCAGAGATCGTTCTCGGCTCTCTCTCTCTCTGTACTCCGGGTGATGATCTTTCAATCGTTCAATCAGCCAACTCCACCCCTGGCGAGGCACGTGCAGGTTGCAACCTGCAACCCGTAACCCGTAACCCGTAATCGGAGGAGCAGGGTAAGGATGATCACCTCCTCGGGTTGTCCCACATATTTCTCGCTATCTCTCCCGACAGAAACAAACTATTCGTATCATTTTTGGAATTTCACCGCAGCTGGCTGCAGCAAAAACAACCAGGAAGTCTTCTGATGCTGCTGCGGTCTCCTGCAACAAGTCGCCGCAGCAATGAGAAAAATTTCGCTAGATAAATAATGCATATCTCACGCACTAGCTTCGCGGACCAAAGTTGAACTAAGGCTCATTTTTACACTGAGGGGAAAAATTAGTACAAAGAATATTATGAATTTTATTCACAAGCTTAAAATGGTAAAAAACCAAGGACTTGGGAACTTCAGCTAACGAATTCTGATAAAGATCGTTCTAAATCGTTCTTCTAAATACAAAATATTCATATAAAATCTTGTAATTCATGAATTATCTCAACTGTAAGATTGTAAGTATTTTGGGAACATTTAGTAGGATTACATCCATAATTTCAATAAGTTTTAAGCTAAATTTAAAATAAATACCCTTGTTCCCAAATATTTCCTCTCACTGCATGGCAAAGCTGCTGCTTTTGGCCATTTAATGAAGGCCTAGATCCGATGCCTTGGCCATAATAAGCAATGGCCCAGGCCAACAATGAAATCTTCGGCTCCACAGCCCAGGCCAATTTATGCGATGGCTTAAAGTCTGGCTTTTCCGGCTGCGCTCTTTTCTTCAGCTTTTCAGGCTGGCTTTTGTGCGCTGCCTCCCTTCTCGTGGCTGCGTGTTTCGATTTGGCGCGATTGCTTGCTTGGTTTAATTTAAGCCCTGAGCGCTCCGCCGCCGAAAAGATTCATTAATGTTTGATTTTAGGTGCTTTTTTCTATTTACTTATTTTCCCAAGATCAAGCGAGATTTACGCCAAATTGCCCGGTGCCCGGAGCCAGGCACCTCCTTCTTTGCCTCTATCTCAATTTCCTTTGACTGCTTTTCTATTGATTTCCTATAGCTTTTCTTTCTTACATTATTTTTTTTATTTCACGAGTCTCTGATGCCGCCTTGATAGGCACTCTTAAATTGGTTCATTAAATGCAACTGTTTGTTTTTCAAAGAGGAATTAAACAAAATGAGGAATAGACATTTTCGATACCGTTCCCAATTTCCAACTCTTAAATTAGAGAACAGATCAGTAAGATCTTTACTTCAGCAGATATTTGCTCGCATTTCATACAAACTCATTACATTTTTCATTTTTAATATCATTATAATAGGTTCAAGTACGGCTTTAATGGTACCTAGCCATTATTGTCTAAAATTTCGATATTATACCAACTAAACTTAAAAACAATCAAAGCTTTCGATAAGCAACCATCGAGTATAAATCGAATAATCGATTTGAAATGAAATCAATTCCAGAACACATGCTTCATGTTCCAGATCAAACGGGAAGAAATACTTCCAGCCGGCTTTCCAAGCCCTTTAATATGAGACACCCTATTTATCCCAATGATCTTGCCTTGTTAATTAGCTTCTTAAAACATTAACAAATGTGGTACCCACATATGACTGCTCAACAGAACCAATAATAATTCGATAATGACCAGTAACGGGACCGCGGGGGGAGGGGGAAATAACTGGAACCCTTACAATGTGCAACTCGTCGTCGCCCACGCGATGGAATGACCGCCCAAAAAGCAACGAATATATTCATTCCCCAGCAAGCAGAACCCCTTGCGCGCTTATTAATAACATTATTTATGGCCTCTGACCACCTTCCCCGACCCCAAAACTGCCGCGTAACCTAATTTATTAAACATTTGTTAAAACGCCAATTGGCCGACCGCCCTTTTTGTTATTGTTTGTAAATGCTAAAGAATAATGATGGAAAACACGTGTTTACTTACATTTACATAGCACCAAATGGTTCCGCAGCGTTCACTCTTCTTCACTTGTCACAGTTTACGTTTTAAGCTCATATTTTTAATATTTTTTCGGCTAATTTTTACTTGCTAGCTGCAAACCAAATATTTTTGTTGTTTATTTTTGCACGAAGTGTGACCGTTGGTTCAGAGGAGCAAAAATACCACAAAAAATCCGGCAAGGTGCGAAACATACTAAACAGCTGTTGGCATGGCACAGTGGGATGAAGGGAAGAAAACTAAGGCTAATATTAAATTTGTTTTCTTCCTTTTTAATCGTTTTTTTAAGTATATTCCCATTGAAATGAGTTAAAGAATACATTTTGCATTCAAACAATACAGTTCTAAACGTCTTATAAAGGTTGGGAAGCTTTTTTACACATCAAAGTAATTGTGACTGAACAAATGCAGCCAAATTGTATACTTTTGCAGTTGGATTTTTAAAAATCGTCAATTTTGATCTAATAAAAAGAAAATTAAGCAAAATAAATATTATATTAAATATTTGTACATATCATATGAGTTATTTCAGTTTTTCATATCTCAGTTAATATAAAAATTTATTGAAAACCAAATGAATCAATGTCAAATGTAATATGTTTTTCCAGCATTTTCCGATCGATACTATGGCAGCTATATAATATAGACCTCCGATCTGGACTTTTCCGATATATAAGCTAATGAATATAAAAATAAGACCATCTGCAAAGTTTCATTCAGATTGCTTTAAAACTGAGGGAGTAATTTGCGTAGAAACGGACAGAGGGCCAAACGAATATGGCTATATCTGATGCTGATCAAGAATATATATACTTTTTAAGGCCGATTATGACTCCTATACCTGCGATGCAAGCTTCTCACTAAATTTTTATACCCTGCAAGGTGTAAGATAAGATAATTTTCAACTACATAAATTGAATATAGCCTTTAAAATAAATTATAACACTGAAATATGTACTAAAACATTACCTTTACAATAAAACTATTCTTTAACATAACATTTCAATCTAAATTTTTGTGTAAAGTGCGTTATATTTGATTTTGAATAATAGATTTGAAAGTAATAAATAACAACAGCTGGGGTAAAATATAAATAAAGTTACAAGTGCCGCTGGATTAATACTCCTACATGGCCTGTACCAACATCAGAAGTTCTTCTTTTAAATAATTAAGATCGGCCTGGGCAGCAGAAGCCACTCCGTTTGCGCTAAACAGCAAAAGGGAGTTTGGAATGAGTCTGTAAAAGATTTAAATAAGTTAAAAAAGTTTTCGTTTCAACTAAATTATATTTCAAATACTTACTTGCAGTCGTAAAGGGTCTTCTCTAGGTCTTCCTCGCCCAGCTTGCCCTCGCTGGTGGCCACCAGGCTGAAGTCGAGGCTCTCGTCGGCCAAACATGATTGCACGAACTCAAACACGTCTGCGATTTTCTCGTAAACGTTGAAAGTGCCCTAAAAATGATTCACGTTTTTACACAAGTTTTCTCTTAATTTCATCATTAAAAGCTTACTTGTATGAAGAGTCCGTTGGGGAACTTAACCCTGACCAAGGCGTAACGATACATGCGCAGATTGCGCTGCTCCTCTCGATCCCGCATGGCTTTGGTCCTCAGCATTTGGGCCTGGGCGATGGCGTCCGAGCGCAGCTGTTGCTCCTTCTTAATCTCCTCGGGTGAAAGGCGATAGAACTCATCGGGCAGGACAACCCTCCGAGCCTGCGATGGCAGGAGAACCTTTATATTCCTGTCGAGCTCCAGGGGAATTGTCTCCGAGTTCTTTAACGCTTCCACCAGGGTGGGCAAGTCGAGATCCTCTTCGGTTTGCTCTCTGGTCCACAGCAGATACGGCTCTCCGTCTATCTCGACCTCGCTGAAGCCAGCTGCCTGAAGGACATCAAGTGCGCCCTCCACATGTCGCACCTTTTCGCTGAAGATCCTGTTCGACATGCGTATCTTGCAGAACTTCTCCTCGGTGGGACTGTTGATGAGGTTCTCCAGATACCGAATGAGCGTCGCAATGCACTCGTCCGCCTTCTCCTTCACATTACAATTGTGAATGATTAGGCAGGCGGTGAGACCTCGATCTCCCTCCAGCTGCTGGTACAGGAACTCCTTGATCTTGGCCTTCCACACGGCTTTAGGTAGAACCTCTTCGCTGATCATGGGGCAACGGAAGAAGACTCCCTCGCAGGCCAGGTTCCGATTATCGCCGCCGGAAGCACTGGTGTTGGAGGCAGAGGCCTCCGCACTTGCCTGCTGCTCCTCCTTCTGGCGGCGCTCGGCCTCCAGTTCTCGCTTGGCCTGAGCCTTTACCGCCGACAACGAGGTGTTGAAATCCCGCGAGGTTTTCTTGTCAATACGAGCCAGTGCCGCATTGGCCGCCTTCCTGGCCTCTTGGCTTATCTCATTACGGTTGGGTGGAACATAGGCTTCGTACTTTTTGCGGGAACCAGAGCCGGAAGGAGCTGCATGTTCCTGCTTGGGGGCATTCAGCTTGTGACCCTCGCCCATGCCGCTGCCGGTCAGCTTGAGCTGGAAGGCAGTGACTTGTATTTAAAGGGTCAGTATTGATTAGGTAAAAACTCACCTTAAAGGCCGCTGCCTCCTCCTTCTTGCGGCTGAAGAACTTCTTGATCTTGGACATGGTTGGCTTAAATGCGTGGCGAGTGTTCCTTGGGCAACTTTAACTTGGCCACCGACAATTTAAGCTCTTCGATTTCCTTGAGAGTGCCTGCAGTAAAGATATTATTTATCGTCGTACAAAGTTAAGTCGCATTTTTCGCCCCATACTTGGCCTGACAAACTTCTCCGTGATGACCTGGCCGTAGACAGACCACGAATAGCCGATGAGGACACAAGTGCCGAGCAGCAAAACGAGCAGGACCTTTAGTAGCGTTGCCTGCAGATCCGTGAAGGCAATGGGACCGTTTTGCCAGCTAAAATCACCCGTCAAGGACTCGAATTTGCCTCGCAGCCCGACAGCAGCCTGTAGTGCAACGCCAGCAAAGAGCTCCACACGTTCGGCGATCGTCTGCAGTGTTGTGTTGAGGGACTCCAGGTTCAGGTTGAAACTCATTTGCCTGGCGGATGACGCTGAAGTGATGGTTTAAACGTATTTTCTTGCTTTTCTTTGTTTATATCTGCTGCATATCTTCCCCTGATATATTTTTTATTTTTTTGTTGTAGTGTGACCGAAAAAGCATAGAAGTATCGATAATAATTCCTATCAAAAGGTCACACCTAAGTCGATAAGAAATCGCTCATAATTTTGGTGCTGCCATACCTTGTGGTAGGTAAGCTGTAGTGTTGGTAAATGCGGACGCACTTAGCGCAAGATTTGAATTTGAAATACAGCCATGTTGTATTAAATGCTTTTTGGGCTTGACCTCATTCGGATTACCTTGATTTTTGCACGTGCATCCTGTTGCTTATTGGGGGAGCTGTCGTTAACCATATTAATTGTCTGTAGGCTTTTAAAGATTGCACCGAAAGTAATTGTTTTTATGGTTTTGAGAGGTTGTAATTCCTTTTTAAAGTCAAGTTGATAAAATTGTTTATTAATTTATTTATTTATATAAAGCTAGCAGTTGGTTGTAAACTAAAGGCTAACATAGGATATTGTTTATTAATTAAAAGAATATAAAGAGTATATAGATAAAAAATATTCTGGGAACATATGAAGGTTCTTGTTTTTATTTTAAATAATTCTGAAAGGGTTTTTTATGGTAATTATACATTCTTTCTTTTTCCTCTTTTTAATCAAAATATATATCAATTTCAAATGCAAATCAGTATGAATAACGATCTCATTTTTCCCCGTGTGATTGCATAATTATTATTGTTTTTTTTTCGGGTATTCCACACGCCCATTATTTATATGCCGGGCTCTTAGCCAGCTGTCGTAATTGAATGATTTTCGATCGTTTCGGCAAGTGCTTTTGCTTCCTGTAATTTTCGGCGATTTGTGCTGCGTTCGATCCCTTTCGCCTTGCCAATTGATTTTCGGTCCTTGAGGTGATGAGGATCTCTCCATCTCCAGCTCCAGATCCATGGCCATTACCCATCTCCATCTCCATCTCCAGGCGGAGAGATCACGCTCCAGTGGTGCGATTCGGGCCGGGGTTGGGACTTGGTTGTTGAGTTCAACAGCCAAGAGGAGCAGCAGAAGCAGCACCGAAAGAGAAATCTCTTGCAGCTTATGGCTTCCGTATGCGCCATGCCTCGCGCTCCACTGGCTGTTTTTCTTGCTGGGCCTTCAGTTTACGTTTTTGTGGCTTTTTCTGGCTTTCTGCAACTTCAATTACACCAGACAGACGCAAACAGATACAAATGTCTATTCTATTTCGCTTTGGTTTATTTATGCTGGCTCATTTTTCTCGACGACGACGGCGACGACGACGGCGGCTAGGCAAAATGTCGACGACTTATAATTCGAGCAGCGTGTAAGAAAGATTTTCCCTCCTTCTCGTTCTGCTCTCTGCGGTCCGTTGGTTTTTGCCAGCCATCGCAATCAGCGGCGGCTCCAAGGCGTGGCGGAGCTGCTGCTGCTGGAGCAGAGCAGTATCCCGATCTTTCCCAGCTCTCGGGCTCAGTCCATGGCCATTATATCTATCACCATCACGCGATATGTTCTCACTTGCAGCGAACCTCCAAGTGCCCATCATTCAACGTCGTTTCAAGACACACAAAGAAATTAGAGTAGAGCTCAAGCTGTATCTTGTATCTTTAAGATATTATAAGGAGACATTATTTGGTTTTTAAATTGGTAATGAGATACTAAAGCTACAGATGTATGATTACTGGGAAGTGCTTACCCAGAAAGCAAGAGTTTAAAATTATAAATAAACATTTCTGCCTAATAATTTCCAACTTTTCATATTATCTAAAATTTCCCTTTTGAAAATTGACCTCCTTTTCATGGTAATATATTTTTCGTGGTGCAGAACCCATCGGTTGCAATTGCAGCTCAACTTCTCGACTGTTTTTTGCGCAATTAAAATTCCACAAATGCTTCTCGGAGGGCAGGAGGGGATTTCTGCGCACCCAGAGCCAGCGAAGGAATGCAAGACTGGCGCGCATGCGCCGGAGTCCGCAGTCCGCAGTCCGCAGTCCGCGCAGTCCATCGTCGCGTTTGCAATTGTTGTTATCAGCCATGCGCCGAACCTGAAAAACTAGTTTCGATTGCCAGCTGAAGACAGAGGCGGTGTGTGGCCAATGCTCAGCGAAAAACTCAGAGAGGGAACGGGGGAAAAGGGAGAGAAACTGGAGAAATGGGAAGTCTTCCAGGTCCTGGGGTATGATGGGATCTAAGATAAAAGAAGAGGAGATATTAACCCATCAAGTTTTTAAAATAAACATGAAAAACGAGAAGTTTAATTTATAAAAAACATATTTTTAACAGTCTTTACATATATTTTAATTACTACAAAGTGATGTAGAATGAAAGGTAAATTTATTTATCATTGCAAAGTATTATAATTTTAGTTAAAAGCTTAAAACGATGTGAAGGAGTCATTTCCGACCCTATAAATCATATATATTATTGATCAGCATAAAAAGCTTAATCGATCAAGCCATCTTTGGGAGATAAAAAATTTTTATTTTTTTTGCAAATTTTTTGTACTACAAAATTTACATTTTTAAATGTAAAAATTGATAAAAATTTTAGTTTTCTTAAATTTAAGTTTGAGTATGCAGATTTATAAATTTAAGAAAAACTAGCATAGAACAGCTTTCCGAATTAAAATTAATGCATTTTTGGCCTAGTTATGATGTTCGGAAAACTGTGATTTTTATTAAAAATGTTGATCTATGAAAATATTGATTTATAGTTCCTATAAGAGACACTTTTTATGTGATAATTGGTGAAGGAGTCATTTCCGATCCTATAAACTATATATATTCTTGATCAGCATGATCAGCCGAGTCGATCTAGCTATATCTGGAAGAAATTAATTTTTTTCAAAATTTTTATAATTTTTTTAGACGAAATTTTACATAAATAAAATTTTTAAAATTTGGCAAAAATTTAAAATGCAATTTTTTTATAGCTGAATATGCAGATTTGTTAACACTATAAAAACTAGCACAGAACAGCTAACCGAATTAAAATTAATGCATTTTTGGCTTAGTTATGAAGTTTTTAAACTTTGATTTGTTGAAAAAATGTTCATATAAAAATTTAAATAATATCGACTCAAAAAATGGTATAATTTTAGTCAGAAGCTTAAAACGCTGTGAAGGAGTCATTTCCGACCCTATAAACCATATATATTCTTGATCAGCATTAAAAGCCAACTCGATATAGCCATATTCGGATAAAAACAAATTTTTCTACAGTTTTTGAAAATTTTATAAGGGGTTTAAAATCGTTAAAATTGTTAAAAATAGATAAATTTGTAGGTTTTTTTTTTAAATTTTTTATTTGAGTATGCGGATTTATTACTATAATAAAAACTAGCATAGGACAGCTTTCCGACTTAAAAGTAATCCTTTTTTGGCTTAGTTATGACTTTTTTATACCCTTGCAGGGTATTATAATTTCAGTCAGAAGTTTGCAACGCAGTGAAGGAGGCACCTCCGACTATATAAAGTATATATATTCTTGATCAGGATCAACAGCCGAGTTGATCTAGCCATGTCCGTCTGTCCGTCTGTCCGTCTGTCCTTCTGTCCGTCTGTCCGTCTGTCCGTCTGTCCGTTTCTACGCAAACTAGTCTTTCAGTTTTGAAGCTATCTGAACGAAACTTTGTAGTTAGCCTTCTATATACTCTCACTCGTATATATGTCGGAACGGGCCGGATCGGACGACTATATCATATAGCTGCCATAGGAATGATCGGAAAATTTTTAAAAAAAAAATTTTAACTTTTTCAGTTTTCAATAGAATTGGATCAAATTTGAGATATAGCCATTTTCCTATACTCTACAATTTTGCATAATATTTTATGAAAATCGGACTACTCTATCATATAGCTCCCATAGGAACGATCGAGAAATTAATACAATTAAATTTATAACTTTTTTAGTTTTCAGCTGATTTTCATCAAATTTGAGGTATAGCCTATTTATATTAGTCTTAAATTTTGTGTCAAATTTCATGAAAATCGGACGACTATATCATATAGGTGCCATACAAACGATCGTTAGATGTAGAGGAAAAATGCAAATCTGCGAATGTAAAACTGCAAATATAATATGTATAGGTGAATGAAATGAAAGCAGGTATTACTTCATTGTTTTTTAACACAAATAAATATAATTTATATTGTTGAGATTCCAAGTCATAGAAGTTATATCTGCAAGGGTATATAAACTTCGGCGTGCCGAAGTTAGCTTCCTTTCTTGTTAAACTTTGATTTGTCATTTAAAAATATCGATCAAATCGATTCTAAGAAAACAAACATTTTTACTATGTTTATAACTAAAAAACGTAAGGTCAAATAAAAGATATTCCCCATGTCGATCATGTGTTTTAACCACATTCCTGGCTGGCGTGCTTTCTGTGCGAATTTCATGGTTGGGAAAGCCAGTAAAAGCCTCCTCTCAATGCCTCCTCGGCGCTTTTCTTTTGTTTTCTCTTTAGTTTTTTGTTGTTTTTCTTTTTTTGCTCTCTTCCAAAACTGGTTGTGCCAATTTATGGCCAACATAGCCGTGACTTTGTTCAGAGTTTTGCGAAAGTCAAGGTAAGAGGCACTGACTGCGGAAAGGGTTTCCCTTCGTTTCCTTTTTTCATTGTATTTTTTTATTTTCAGAGTCTTCAATTGATAGTGTCTTGATTAAATAGGATGACAGAGAGAGGGGGAGGAATCTGGCGCGCTCATTAAAATTTATGCGCAGGAAACGGAAGTGCGGCAGACGACGAGCAGACGCAGACGCGCACACACGAGTTGCCAGTCTCTCTAGGCCTCCTCCTTGGAGCCTCCTTGGGCAGCCTTGTTGCCTCCAATCCACTCGCTTTGTGCCACAATCTTTGGCTATGCCAGCGGCGTGACAAACAGGCAGAAAGTGTCACTCAAATGGGCCGCAAAATTGAAAGTGATGACACGCCCACACAGTCACGTTGCCTTGCATAAGCAATTGAATGGAGGGGTGGAGTAGGGTCTTTGAGGAGTTTATGGTGTGTCCACTGAGAGAAATATTTATAGTAATTAATAAATAAATTTATTGTTACAAATAGGGAAGAATAAATAGGCAGTAATAGGTAATGATTAGGTTACGTTTGCCATATCAGAAGTATCTTTATATATTTCCAGTGCCCCAGGGTCTTCCCATCTTGATTCAAGTGCTCGACTTCAGGACCGAATCATGAATGGTTTAAATGCATTAATTATCGTATTCATTCATGACACTTGTATCTATCAGATGAGCTGCACTTGTTCCCTGATGAAACTTATCCCCCACCTATGTATCTACACATATCCATGTGAACCCTTGGCCCCTTTCCCGGAGGGAGTTCTTCACACGAAGTTCGTTCCCATGAACTTGTTCTATGCATAACATATTCTCCCATGAATCTATCTCTAAAGTTGTATCTGTATCTGTATCTGTATCTTACTGTGTGTGGGTCTGCGCTGGCAATGACAGTTTCTGCTGTGCGACTTCTTTTTCAGTTTTTGTCTTTTGCTGAGCATTTCCCTCAAGAAACAAATGCTTCACACACAGCTTTTCCAGCTCTTGAGCGTGGGAGTGAGAACCGAAAAAATAAAGAAATACAAGAAATAAATGAAAATAAAACAAGAAACCAGGCAGAAATCTGAGCCACTGTAGTTTCAAGTGCTCTTGAATTCGCTGAGAAGTCAGATATTTCATCTAACTTTGGGCCGGAAGTCGTCAAAGCCCACTGGGAGGCACTCTACATGACTTATAAACAATTGTTATTCGAATTTTGTAGAAATTTACTATAATCCAGGCTTAACCCGCTGAGGACCGCCCAAAGCTTATAAAAGAAATATTTCCATTCATCGATTCTCCAAAGGTAATTTTCACCCAGGGGTCTCCGTATTTGGTCTGTAGATACTTTATGGCATCCGCTTTTCTTTCAATCCCTTTAGTGACTCACCTGTGAGGAAAAGCGTGGGCCATAATGATGGGTTTTTCCACCATTAGTGTTTCCTATCGATCCGGGATCGTACATAAATTCAGTTTGTGAGATGCTGTTTGGTCTGATGTTTAGCATATTTTTTCGGGGGGACTTCAGAACAAACAAACATGGACCCAAACAACAAGTGGCTATCCCCACACAAACAGCTTTGTGTGTGGCACCCAAAAAACTCTTTCCATATTTTCCTCTATATATTCAGAGTTCTTTATTGTTGATTCACTTCATTTGTTTATGCAGACGGAGTGAGAGTTTCGTGGGAAATATCGCGCCAGGGCGCAGGCAATGAACTAATTAAAAAATATATAACAGAGAGAAGTTATAGAGGGTTCTGAGGGGGTTCTTTCTCTGCTGGGCCACTTGAAGAGTGGATATTTTTGGCCTAGTCATTTCCTATCCGAAATTCAATTACACTGAAGCCGGAAAAGCAGAGTAGAAAATCTGAAAAACGGAAGAGCAGCATTTCAACAAATTGGCAAAGAGAACTACTCCCAACTCCGACTTCAACTCCGACTCCAACTTCGATCCCGAAGCCCGGTAGCTGGAATTACTGTGCGGTCTTTGTGGCATTGTGTCGGTTTTCGGATTGGATTGGACTATCCGTCGTCCGGCTTCCGTTTGCTGTGTCCACTTCCGTCCGTTTTTATTGTTTTCGCACCTCGCCTTCCGTTCGCTCGTCCGCCTTTGCGCCAAGCGGATATTCTACTTTACATAAGCGGCATTTCCTCAATTTTCCCGGTCTTTGTAGCGATTTATTATTAGTTGTATTTTTGTTTTGATCAGTGCATTCGCAACGCTTGGATATAGTAAAGCTGATCGAATGGAAACTCTACCTATAAGAGGAAATATACTCCAGGTTAAAGGGAATTTCTAACTATATTATAATGGTATATCAAAAGGATATCAAAGACTATAAAAACCACCATCTTTTGGTAGAAAACTCCATTTACTCCAGCATTTACTACAGAGTTTAAAGGTTCTTTTATAATATATCTCAAATTCAAGGAATTCCCCTCAGTTCAAGACTCCCTTTTAGTTTTTTGAAAACTGCAGAGGCGTCAGCTGTTGGACACGAACATGGAATGTGGATGTGCATCTTCTCTGGACTGCCGTGTGCCCCTTGTCGTGGCATGTGTCAGGTTGCGACATCTGTTTTGTGCCCGATCTGGTTCTGTTTGGGTTTTGAGTTCGGCTTTTCGAGTGTTTTACAAGGTAAGCGGGTCTCTCTGGCTCATTTGTCTCGCTTCCTTTGTGCCACAGCCACAGTCACATCCGTGGGCACATCCCCCGGATGCTTCCCTGGAAAGTGAACTGAACTGAAAACTGAACCCAAAATGCAAACTTACAGATACGCAGCGAAATGCAGAGCGAAGCATCAAGCGCCAATGTATCGCAGTATCTGTATCTGTATCTGTATCCGTGTATCTAGGCAGCTGCTCTGGCTCTGTTCATTCATAGAAGATACAAATAAAGAGGAGAATAAAACTACAAACCCAAAACCCAGACCCATACCCATTCCGAAAACTGAAATGAAATGAGCGGATGCACGGGCGGATGGAGCGCTTTGAATTTGTATATTTTCCATCGCCATCCCACACACGGATGTATCTTTGTATCTTTGTATCTATCCGGGTTCTATTTGACTACCGATGCTGATTATCGTTATCCGTTATTGTTATTGCTATTGTTATTGCCATTGTCATAATTGTTCCGTTTTTTGCAATGCAATGGGGAACTTTTTTCGGATCCAACACGAATAGATTGGAGGTACTCTCCCCGAATTTGGTTGTTCTTTTTTATATAATAAAAAATTAAGGAAATAGGAAACATAACTTCCTGCACAGCAGTTGGAATTTTCTTTTATTTCTTTAACTTGGTTTGCTCTTATTTATTTTCCTCATAACACATATGGAAATTATAGAAACTCTTCCCTAATTACCGAGAAGTAACTCTCAGCTTCCCCCAAAAACTACTATGTTTACAAATATTTAATTTAATTTGTTTACTAGGAAGTGTATTCAGTTTTGGTCCCCCCAAAATGTAAACTGGGTTAGGAATTTCTCTCCCCTTTTTTTTTAAAGTAACTCCAGCTTAACCAAAAATTGTTCAAGGTTTTCTTCTATGATTTCTCCCCCAATTTTTAGATATATTTACTGTAAACTTCAGTTTTCCCCCATTAATCACACAGACGAGAAAAGTCTTTGGAAAATAAACACTTTTGGGCTGATCTATGTATGGCCAGGGCCTAAACAAATGTTAGCATTAACTTCTGGCCAAGAATAACAAAGAGTTTATTGCACTTGTCTAGGTGTGTGTGTGTGTCGGGTACATATATATTTATATATATATCTAGTTTTTTTTTCAGAGTTGGAGGCATTTGTTGGGACTTAATGATGTGCTAATTGGGCAAGCGTATTTCACTTGTCAATGCCAGAGTTTGTTGGGGAGAATTGTGAAAGACATAAACAGAACATTAAGTCCAAAAAAAGAGAGCGGAATTGCTCAAGACCCGTGCGGTGCCTTCTTATGGGATTACCTTAAAAGTTGTTTCACAAATCGGAGGAAAAATGGTTGAGTAATGAGAGTGTAGAGTTTGGAATGTGTTAAGCCGTATTTCTATAGATATAAGAGCCTATTTTCTATTTATTTCAAATCACAAATATTCCTAAAGTAAGAAAGGAATATATATACCGCTTCAATTTTCAATTGAATTATCGAATTGAACCGAAAATCAAACTTAACTTGGCTTAAAATATTCGCATTCTTTGAATTGATATTTAACATTTTTATATGGCAAATCACATTTTTAAAAACTCATAACTAAGCCAAAAATCCATTAATTTTAATTCGGATATTTTTTCTGTGCTAATTCTTATAGGATTAAGAAATCTGCATATTGAGTTTTAACATTTTTTAAATTTCAATTTTTGACAAATTTTAAAAAATTTTATTTAAGTAAAATTTTGCCTAAAAAAATTTTGAAATTTTGAAAAAAATTTAATTTTCTCCGGACATAGCTAGATCGATTCGGCTATTTATGCTGATCAAGAATATATATGATTTATAGGGTGGGAAACGACTCCTTCACAGTGTAACAAGCTTCTTCGACTAAAATGATAATACCCCTAAAAGCGTATAATTACTGTAACATTTCCCATTAAAAACACACTTGCATTCAGTTATAAAATTTCATTTTATATATTTTCCATCAGATGCATACTTAAACAACTAATAGGACAGCATTTTAACTTCACTCTTGGTTATTCTCATTATATAATATACCAGTTTCTCCTTTGTTCCAAAATGCATATTCAAAGGGAGAAAATATTCTTGAGAGCTAATCTTTGACAACATTAGAAATGCAGGATACTATGGCTAGGACTTAACCGAAGAGAGCTCTAAGGACTAGGCTTTACAACTACACAGAACTAAGCTAATATTAACCTACAATCCTAGAGATATGTACAACCAGTGAGGGATGAATCAGGATCCATTATCCCTGCGAGAGCAGGGCCATAGCCCGGGCCAATCGCACTCGAAAGTCCCGGTAGAGCATCTTGCCGCCGACGGGGACGCGGCACAGGTACATGTCCAGGCTCATCAGGCACAGAGCCTTGCCGTTCATGGGGAACTTCTGGGGCAGCTCGGCGGTGACCTCCAGTCCCTCGGAGACGGCCATGTTTATCAGCCACTTCCACACATCCGCTCGCGTCCAATCTCGGGGATCCAAGGGCAGGCCATCGGATCCCATGGGATGATGCAGCAAGGTGCTGCCATCCTCCAGGAGTCGGTTGTTGTTGTCATCGGAGGAGGAGGAGGCGGAGGTGACAGAGGTGACAGCGGAGGCGGAATTGGCACTTATCAAGGTCATGCCGCCACGACACTTGTCCAGCATTTGATAGGGATGATGGAGGTGTCGCTTGGACGAAGGAGTACTCCCGCCACTCCACAGATCCTGGCCAGCATTCACCTGGGACAAATCCAGGGGCGGCACACGTCCGGCGTATTTCGGGTAGCTCGATTCCACTTGCATTGCGATACTGAAAAGCACAGATAGAGAGAGGGAATCGCTGATTAATAAACAAGTACTATATACGTGACTCATGGCGGAGAGGTTAGTGCAACGGAAGTGCTTTCACAAGCCAGCAATTGTTTTAATCGCAAAAACAGCAACGCGAAACAAAAGCAACTTAAATACAAATAATAATAATAATACGCATACGCCGCGTTGTACGGCATCATAAGTGTGTTGACCTGATCTCTATAATGGGTATAGAGTATCTGCGATTAGTAACAAGGTGTGACTAGACTTTGTTTGTGGAAAAAATTAAATAATTAAGCTTTGTCCGTTCGTGTCCGTTAATGAGAATATGCCTCTATAGCTCAGAGACCATTAGAGCTAAGCCCACAAATTTGACATCAGCATTGTCTTAAGTTTTCCGAATAATAAATAATAATCATTCCAATTAATGCTGAATTATTTTTCCCTTCGTTTAAAACATAAATTTGCCTTAAAAAGAGCATCAAAAATTCTTGAAATATTTCCAGAAAACATATATATTTTGAATTGATATTTTGTTATTAAATCTGACCTTGTTTGCCGGCGGAATGGGCGGTATCGTTAGCGGATCGAGGCGGGGCACACGCGAAAGGAAGCGCTGAATAATCATTACTCGCGGCTGTCATATCGATCGCCGGTCACATTCCGGTGCAGATTGGAGGGAGGGGAAGCGGCAGATCGGAGTGGAGGGGAGATCGGTGGAAATCGGCATGTGGCTGACATAGAAACACTGGCCAGGCTGCCGCGATTACGATTACAAACAAAGCGGGGAACAGGTCAAAAGCAGAGCGGAGCGGAAATAATTACCAGCCCAATTGGCAGCTGCGAATGTGCCGAGCAAAACAAAGAGCCCACCAAATGGGAACCGGGGTTAAAAAATAAAAAAACACACAACACAACACAACAAGCGAAACATCCGCCGACGGATCATAAAAGGTGTCAATGCGAAATGTGGGTAAGAATGGGAATGGAAATGGGAATGGGAATGGGAATGACAGCGGAAGCCCCGGGCTGCGATTTCAAGCCTCGCCAAAAGGGAACCTTTAATAGTTTTCCGGAATGAAACTTCACCGGGGAACCCCATCGGAGCTTCCGCTCAAGGAAATGCGTAAGGAGTCAGCGTCTCCGTCTTGGGTATAATTTTAATTACACAGTTCGTTGGCACTAAATAGCTTTCAAACAAGTTCCCACGAAATATGCTCAAGTTCAGAAAATATAAACAACAAATCGGGGGTAGTCTTTCCTACATTGTATCAAGGAAACGAGATCTTTATATCAAAGATATTAAAAAATTTAAGGATTGTTCCCTGGGGATCTGTGCCCCTTTATATGTGATTTTTCTAGGGATCTTACATACATTTTGTTAAATATTTTTATACAAAAAAATAAACATTTATTTAGTGGTTTATACATAGAATAAATAAAGGTTTCGCTCTCTTTGGTTTCAGCTCCTAAGTGATTTGATTAAACCCTCTTAGAACTCTCTTATATCTCTATTTATATCCAAAATAGAGTGCAGTTGCATATAAAAACTATTTCCATATCAAATCTTTGACTTTACATTCAAGTTAAAGACTAAACCCACTCCTTTGTAGTCTTAAAACCAAAGGGTAAGTGTGACTCATGCCAGCGGATGCCATAAACTTAAACGAAGACCCAGTAAAGCGACATTTTAGACACCATTAGAAGGGAAATAACAAAGCCCTCGAAATCGGAAGAGTCTCCCCCCTGATGGGAGAATGACCCATTAAGAATCTCCACTAAGTTCTAAGCAATCTTCAGGCGGTCCTCAGCAGGCGAACTACATAATTGTGGCTGTGCCCTGTGAATTCAATTATTTCATTTCAATTTTTAAATGAAAAATAAGGCAAGCCACCCATGGGGGCAAGTACACCGAGAGAAAGTGTATGAAATTCCAAAATGATCAATTATTATTAAACAAAGTAAAAGTTGATCAAGTATTAAATCAATAAACTTTCCCTATTAAATGACACTTCACTACTTTATAAAGAAAATCATTTAATATCATTTAAAATTAAGTAAAACCCCTCATTTAAATATAAAATAAAAACCACATCTTTTTCGTAGTAATATTTCTCTCTGTGTAGAACAACTTCCGCCTGTCTTAGAAGCCAATGAAAACACTTGAAGTACATTTTGGGTTTCCCACTCCCACGCTCTGAGAGGGAGGAAAAGCGTGTGAAAAGCAAAATGGTTTGCCAAATGGAATTCCATCTGCGGGGTTTCCGTTTTGATCAGTGATCGCTCTGGCTTCAAGTCTGATTAATATAGAATAATGTTCTATTAATATATAAAAAGTAATGTATAGAATATAGAATATCCGAGTTGAGGGAAATAGTTAACTCGTGCTCAGCACGCGTCGCTTAAGAAAAAGGAAACGCGCAAAAGGAAAGGAAAAAGGGAAATGGAAATGGAAGTGGGAAAATGGTTTTCAGTTACTATTCGGTGGACAAAAGTCAATGGCAGGAAGTGCAACGTCCGCCTGCGCACAAACACACACTCACACTCACTCACACACACAGAAACAGGATGCGCATCCCCCGTTTGTAATTCCTTCTTTTTTTTGTGCGTTTCAAGGAAATGCCCCTGTAGAAAATAAATGAGGAAATGCGCCACAGTTTTAATTACATTCACGAAAAATATATACATATGCGACTTCTTCGTGCTACTTAGTAGCTGCCACTAAGCCAAAAGAGAACTTTAAGTGTGCAAAAGACAAGGCAATGCGAACGTAAAAAATCGTAATTTGAAGTTCGTAAAAATGACGCGTTTCCTGTCATTTGGCGAGCACTTTAAGTGCGTAATTTGCTATCCGCCAAATATATGTGTGATTCTCCAGTCTTGAGTCTTGAGTGTCGAGTGTGGTGTGTGGTGTGTGGTGTGCGGAGTGCGGGGTGTAGTGTGTGTATCTTGTCTGTTTTCGTCGGCCGTCATTCGTCCGTCCGTTTGCCGGGTGTTTATGCCCCACAATTTCCTCTTTCTCCAGGCGACGACCCACCGCGTTTCATCTTTCTGAGCGGCTTCCGTTTTTGCCGAAACGGATTCGGTTTGGGTTTTGGAATTGGAATTGGGATTCTTCTGCGAGATCTGTGGCCAAGGTTGACATGATGACAGCTCCCCATAAATAGGGATTTATTAAACAAACAACAAATTATATATAATTTTCGAGATATTTCTGGAAGATGAGCTGAGCAAAAGGTCTGGACAATTATTGGTCAACAGATATAGAGGAAGTATAAGTATCTCTATTATAAATTTACTACAATACTTTAAATTATTTTGAATATTATGTATACAAAATATTATTATAAAGTATCAAGAATTCTTTTAAACCTATTGTGATCAGTAAATATCAATAAGTTTTGTCTCTTGTATCCCCAAGATATTTCTTTAAAGAAATTGAATTTGAATATTTAACAAATTACTATGTAAATATAAATATATTTGACAAAATTAACCTAGTTTCTCCTATTAACAAATTGAAATATATTGAAATTTTACCCCTTACAATCAGAGCATAGAAAACTAAGGCCTTAAGCAATTTAAGCCCATGTCTAGTGTAATTTTTTCTTGACTTTAATTATCATTGTTTGTTAATTTGTATGGGTCTTTTGATTTTTATTTTCTTGGCCATCTTTCAAGGCAATAAACTCGTTCGTTCGTTCGTTCATTCATTGGAGACTGCATCAGGCGACAGATGATAATCTGCTGAATATTGTTAAAAATAAACATAGACGGGCAGCAACCGAACCGGATTCCATTTATGCACATGCTGCTCTTGTAGTTGATTTTTATTTCTCTTTTTTAGTGAGTTTGCTGTTGTTGTTGTGACGTATGTTTGCTGATATTACAAATCATGTAACGCCATCGAGGCAGCAAAATGCGAAAATGCATCGTCTGCCTGACGTCTGCTATCGCTGTCTCTGTTACGCTGTCGCGCCATCTCTGTCTGTCCATTGAAGAGAAAAAAAAACATCAGTCCCATTCATCATTTCCCCCCAGTGGCACTGAGAGAAATAACTAGGTGAGTTGTAATAATAAAGAAATTGTTTGGAATGTTAAACACATGGATATCCTGCTTTATACATTTATATTTTAATTTATACGTTAATTTAGACATCAACTTTAATAAAATATAGATAATAAAATAAATTTCAAATACATTTATTAATGTGCAAGTAAATACCAAATAATAATTCTTTTTTAGAAAACTTTGTGAGTTCAGGTCTTTAAAAATTCAAATATTTATTATAAAAATTTGTTAAAAATTGTTCTTAAAATTTTTAAAAATTATTTGAGTATTTCTTTTGAATTTATTGTACTTGCTCTACCCTGATATTTTCTCTCAGTGCCCCTCAGTGGCCCCCAATGTGTGATGGACGGATGTGTGACGACTTTCGGTCTTGTTGTCGCTGATGCGTTTAAAAATATAAGTACGGCGTCGGCCAAATGGCGCCAAATGCATTTCGAGTCGGTCTTTTGGGTCTTGTTCTTGTCAAATGTAAATTAAAATGGAAGCAACTACAAATGGAGGAAATATATACTGCATTTGCCTCTCGCACGTGTCTATCAGAAGCTCCCCGCTCCCCGCTCCCCACCCTTGGGTCAGCAGCAGGAAGTGCCTTCTTTCTTCGGAACTCCAAAGTGCTTATCAAAGTTTTGCCACAGTCAGAGGTTTGTCATTTCCTTCCTCCGCCAGAGAGCTGCAAAGCTGAGTCAGCTGGGAAAATTAATTAAGCGGGCGAGGCCAGGTGCAGCTGCTGTTCGATCCTGCAGCTGCAAAGATTGCACAGAGAAAAGAACCCCCCGACCACATCCTTTGCGCATGCGCGCGCATTTACTCAGGAGCAATAAGGAGCACAGGCAGAACGCCAGAATAACCGAGAAACGGGGAATAACAACCACATAACACACATTGCCAGGGAAGCCACCATGAAATCCAACAGAATGCATCTTTATCGAACTTGGCCACAAAATTTCAGTTCGGTTTCCATTTGCAGCTGCCGTCTTGGCATTTTAAGTGTGGCTTTTGTAAGGACACGCAGAGAAAGGAGAGGGTTCTAAGGAAGGATCTTCGAAGTGAACAATATAATAATATATTCTAAAATCTTTGGGATATATAAGATAACTTACATTTCATGATGTAAATATCCTTGATCCTATCCTACATTTGATCATATTTCAGTTATTTTATCATATAAGATAAACGTTCAATTATGAGTTCAATCTCTCAACAAACTAGAATTTATTTCAGTGCTTAAACCTTTGTGGTTGCCTTTGTTTTATATTTTGTAACAAAAGAGGTACATTTAACCAGTTTCCTTGACTACTACATTTTCCCTGGGCTAAGACCAGCTTAACAACCAACTCAGTTGGAAAAACTCTTCATTAACTTTCAATTTGCTGCCCATTTTCGTTTCACGAATGGGATTTAAAAAAGGAAAAACTAAAGTTTTGGAGGTCAATTAGCCAGAGTCACATCAAAACAGACAGACTATAAAAGCCAAGTTAACTCGAAAAACCTTCGGCATGTTTTCGACTCTGCGAGTGTTAATGAGGGCCATAATGAAAATATATGTATATACAGTATGTAAACCGACTTACCTTGATCGAAAATATGTTAATCCAACACTTGTATTTGTGTCTTGCGAATCTTCCGTCGAGGCTTTCCAAATTTTATATTCGTTCGCGATTTGTTTGGATTTTTGTGGTTTGGTTTTATTTATAGGTTTGAATTTGCTTTTGCAAATGCACTTTTCTCGGTAGTTTTTATTCTCTCTAGCTCTCTCTATAGGGGGGGCTTGTATCTGTATCTCTCGGATACGTTTCACAATGTTTCGCAGCAAGTAACGTATTTTTCACGCTCTGAACTACTTTTCTACTATTTCGCTGCGGCGTTCGAGTTTTGAAAGTTTCGCTGCAATTGGCTACGTTTTTCACTTAACGCGGGAATTGTTTAGGTTTCTGTTTTATTTATTTGTATTTTTCTTTTGGGTGGCAAATCCAGTTTGCTAGTTGCACTGCGAAATGTATCTTCGTGGCCTGGCGGATGAGTGAGTAATGCGGCGACGACGACGCACACTGCAAGAGTATCTGTATCTGTATCTGACGGCGGTCTGGAAGTATCTGTATCTGTTCGCGCGCTCTGTTCAACTGATTTCGATCGTGCTCGTGCAGCGGGTTTTGTTGAAACGCTCTCTCGCTCTCTCTATCTATCCCTCTCTCTGCGCGCATGCTCTTTGCAGGGGTCTCTCTCGGGTCTCTCTCTACCATATCTCTCAGCTGTTTTCGGTCGACAGCTGTGGACATGTTCGTAGAGATCGTAAATATATATGTTATATGTACTGAAAAAAAAATTAAAGAAATTTTAACCAGTTGAAATATTAAATATAAATATTTTAGGTATTAAAATTTATAAAAAGAAACTTTATTGTGTATCTATTAATATAGAATTAGAGGGTAACAATTTTTAAACAATTGTTTCAGGCCTAATTTGCCAAGTAATAATCCCTACAATTTGTGCAGCTATAAAGTGGCTTCTCACTAAATTATATATTATTTTATTTTAATTTAAATTATAAATACAATTATAAACATTATTACTACAGTGTACCTTCCGACCCGCATCTTTGTCCCCTTTTAAGCTGATTGAGTCAACATCTGAGGTCAATGGAAGTAAAGTTCCCCGGGGTTCAAAACACAGGAGAAAACAATGAAGGTCCCTTGGCCTACAGAAAAATATGTGGGTTAACTTTAGCTCTCAATGTGTGTACGTTTTTTGTTAAAGGATTAAGAGATTTTAAAAGCAGACTTTAAAGTATTTTCCTGTATTAAAAGAGGATTTAAAACAGAAGGTAGAATGGAGAGAAAGGCCGTTCACAGGGTTTATCTATGCCACAGAAAAATGCTCCTAAATCCCTACAGAAACTGTCTTCAAGTTTTCATTTCTAAAATACAATTCATTCTGGGAATTTATTATAAGAAATATAAGATTTCCCCACTCAGTTCACAACTCTTCGCCTTGACTTTGTCACTCAATTTATCACAATTTCCAATTACCATTTTTCAGAGATTTATCATTCACTCACTCACTCACTCATTCATTCAGTTATTCAGTTCTGTGAGTAGATGAATGATTAATTTTTTTTGGAACCTACCTAATTATTCGGCGAGTAATTACAGGAAATCCTTTTCCTGCCGCGCACTGAAAAGCATTTTAATGTAAAAGGCATTCGGTGGCTGCCTCACACGCATGCCAAGGGGAGATCCTTTTCTTTGTTGTTTTCCCTTTTGGGGAGATCGCAGCATATGGCCAAGGATTTTGTGGTATGAGTCCCTACATGTGTCTGGAGCTGTCAAGTGCCGAATCCTTTTGCTCCACGCGTGAACGGAGAGATCATGCCGATGATCGAGTTACGCCAACTTACTGGGAATCCTTATCCTTCAATCCATCCATCGATCGATCGAGTTGCAGCACGCGTACGCCCAAAAAAAGAGATCAGGATTCGGGACTCAGGACTCGCTACTCGAATGCCAAGGCAGATGTTACACCTCCTGCCCTTTGAAGCGGTGTCCTGTTGCGATCTCAAGTGCATCTAATGGCTTGTTTATCAGCATCCCTCATCCCCGATCGCTGGCCAAATAAATTGAGAGTAGGTACCATTGGTAAAAGAAAATCCTTAATTGATTGTGGCGACCCTCTAATCATTTCTAATTGCAAGGCGAAGGACCCACAGAGATCCTCTCAGATAAGCTACACTTACAAAAAACTAATAGGACTTTAACATTTAATACATTTAAACACAATTTAGAATATTCAATAATATAAATAAGTCAGTTAAACGTTTTCCATAAATTGATTGGTCTCCTTGTTGGCATTTTCCTTTCTGTAGTTTACCAGATGAGGCTTAACCAATCTCGTTTTGCGGTCTAAAGAATGAAACAATTTTAAAATACAAGTTTTAAATAAATAATATAACAAAGAGTATTATTTACCTTTAACATTTCCTTGTAATTTTTGGAGAGGTGCCCGTCGAATTCTTTCTTTGGCATTTTCCTGAACCTTGGACTCCTTAATCGGTTCCAGGACCTTCTCTACTTTAGCCTCTATAACTGGTTGTAGTTCCAAACTCTGAAAGTTGAGGGGCACCTCCACTTTATTCTTCTCAAGATCTTCTTGATCAATTACCTTCTCCGGCTGGACCTCCTTCTCAGGAACTGTCTGATCTTGGTTAACTGGCTCATTGGGCCAGGAAAGGAATTCCCTTACAGCGGCTACAAATTTATATAAATTTATTTATCACAAATATTATATCTACATAAAAACTCACCGTTCAGTTCAACTGGACAATGAGACTTGGCCACTGACTCATGATGGCCAAAAATCCCTTCCAAAGCCTCTATATTGAGCATCACTAGGAATAGAGCATTATTAATGCCTTCCAGGGAAGGATATCTTTGTGCTTACAAGGCATACCCCACACGCTAGACAGGATCATCAGGGAAAATAGAAAAATAGGTGTCCAAACGGGCAGCATCTTGTATCTCAGGAATTATATTCTCTAATAACTTATGAATAGTGAGAGTTGGAAACTGTATAGAGTTATATTGATAGACTTGACCAGGCCTGCCCTATATTTAGAATATTTTATTCCTATCTAGGTTTCTAAATATGTTTTGCTCAGTGTCCTTACAGTTAATCCCCACACATGTGTGTATGATGAACCCAAGCCAGAACAGCTGCCCTTTGCAAAGGATCTAACATATCTTCCCTTCTATTGTCTGGTCTGGCCATGAATCGGCATTTGAATCTCCAAACGAAGGCGATAAGAATCACCTACCTCCGGGACAGGATGTGTGCAATGAGAGTTGCCAAAAAAGAATAATAAAACCCAACTTTTCTCCGTTCGAAAAAGGATGTTTACTTAGGCTCACGTACGTGACTCTGTGAGGTAATTTCAGTGAGTCCGGCTGATAATTACGATTGCCTTGGATATATTTGCTTAGCCTTGTTGATTTTCAATTACGTGCCTGAGTCCAGAAACCAGATTCTGTGTTTGTGCATAAATTGCCAGCCCAAAAGGAAGTTAATCCCTCTCCCCGCGTTCGATAGTTATAATTTACACATCTGGCAGATGGCTGAGCATGGGCATGAGCTGGGGAGCATCGCGTGCCTTGGATATATCCCAAAAATATCCAACCCGATGTCTGGCTATATATAGAGCTAAAACCACCCCCGAAAACTAAACGATTTACGAGTCTTGGAGTCATTAAAGATCTACGAGAAGGAAGAGATATATACAGAAAGTTGAGGTTGGGCTGTGCTGGGCGTGAGCAAGTTAGTTATAGTTATTTTTACGATCGCACAGAGAGGGATTTCCCCCTACATAATCCCAGAACAGGCAGCAGCCTCCCTGCGTTTTATTGGCACTTTCCCCGGGGCTATAAATCAATAAACAGATTGTGTGGCATATCTTCAGCTAGTCATAAAGTTTTCAGCGTTTTCTTTTCCTTCGGAGAATTTCTCGCCGGGCAGCTGTCCCCTAGTCTCTATTACCAGGGGTTTTCCGACTTTCCACAACTGAAATCTTATTAAAAAAACAGAAAAGAAACATCAGAATCAATCAGAAAAAGAATCAAGTAACCGTAAATAAAAAGTAAGGAAAAAAGCTGAAAAAATAAGACGCGCTCGTAAAGAAACTGGCGCAACACAAACATTTCCAAAAACGAAAATGCCACACAGCCTGCGAAATGAAGAAAATGCACTGGAAAAATTTATAATTACCTAAATTTTGTAATATATTTTAGGTTGGTTTTCTTAAATTATAAAGTTGCTATGAGAGCTATCAAATAAATCAAAAGAAAAGTATATTTAGATATCAGTTTTTCTCTCTTAAAAGGTAGCTTCAAAAGAAAGTATTATCAGTATCTCTGGGAAGGTAAAAATGGGATAATTTTTTGAACTTTATTTCCTTTTGAAATTTGAATAAAAGCTAATTTAAATGAGGAAAAAAAAACCCCTTTGTGGTAAGAAGTACGAATCCGGCTAGCTTATAATTGCTCAAGAAATGTATTAAAAATATTGTTAGACAAATGCAAGTCTCGGAATTGTTTTATATTAATTTTTCCTATATATTTTCCCAGAGTGCCTCTCACAGATTCCAAGACAAGATCTTTGCCATGGAAGAGAGAGATTCGAATACCAAAGACTGTAAACCGTACACCGAATACCACCGGAGACCGGAGACCGGAGACAATAGGGCAACAAGCCACAGATACAGCCGACTTCCGCTTTCGTTTCATAAATTCGGATTAAGGCATTTTCAAATGATAACAATGAACGTAAATAAAGAGGGAACGACGGTGAAGAAATGCTCCGTGAATCTGATTAACGGCCGCTCACAATGGCAACTTTACGTACTTACTTACTTACTTACAAAACGTGTCACGTAAATGCCCATCGCCGGTGGTGGTCGGGCAGTAAAACCAAATTAAACCCACAACGACATGACCAAGAACAATCCGCAGCAGCCAAGCCGAGGAAAGCTCAGCACACACAGATTGTCTTGGAAATATGGGAAAATTCCTAATGGGAGCGATGCTTCTTTGTCAGTTAAACCACTTACAGAGATCTTTCAGCTTCAAGATCACTCTTTTTGTGGGCGGATCGAGAGGGAATAGGAGGCAGGAAGGTAGAATTTATGTGCAGGTAGGGGAAGTACCTCAAGGGGGTAGATACAAAATAAGGTAAACCATTTAATAAATAATAAATAATACAAGGGAAAAAAATATTTAACAGAGAAATCAGTATGAAAAAGTACAATGGCTGTTGCCATATCATAAATATCATAAGATCTTCCCTAATGAATTATTTATAAATTGTTATCATTCCTAACTAATTTACATTTTGTAAATATAAAGATCTAAGGCTTCTTTTAAATTCTATATAATTATTTATTTTTGTATTTTTATGCCCTTGCAAGGGTATTATAAGTTAAGTCAGAAGCTTAAAACGCAGTGAAGGAGCCACTTCCGACCCTAGAAATCATATATATTCTTGATCAGCATCGAAAGTTGAATCGATCTAACTATATCCGGAAGTAATCTATTTTTTTCAAAATTTTTATAATTTTTTTCGACCAAATTTTACTTTAATCAAATTATTAAAATTTGACAAAATTTGAAATTTATAAACTTTAAAAACTGAATATGCAGATTTGTTAAAGCTATAAAAACTAACACAGAACAGCTTTCCGAATTAAAATTAATGCATTTTTGGCTTAGTTATGAATTTTTTAAACTTTGATTTGTTGAAAATATTGTCAAATAAAAATATCGATTTAAAGAATTCGAATTTTTTAAACTTAGTTATGATTAATTTCTGATTCTACCCTATAATTCAATAGCAAAATACTAGGATATTTAAACATCGGCCTCTCAAGTTAGTTTCTTTTCTTGGTTTGTTAAAAAATATGAAAAATTCCCAAGGAAAACCATTTCCCCAGTCTAAATCCAAAAGTATAGCAGAAAATTAAAAAGTAACTTGGCAAATACCTTTCGGACAACCAAACACAAAGCAAGGACAATGGATTGATGCCAATCGACATCCCGCAGATGCCTGCAAACTCTGAATGAATGGCTCGACGAATTTGGCAAATATTTGAGCCTAGACAATTGCATTTCCTGCCCAAGTGTGCATCCCGTTCGCCAAACAACAACAGCACATGGGATTAGGTCCTGTCACAGGAGCAGGAGCACGAATCATCTGTTGCTTCAACGTCGAAGGCTTCTTGTGAGCCCCGGAAACGGGAAGGGGATCAGGATTAGTAATGGGAAATGGTATGGGGGAATCCCGAGGAGAAGGCGCGTACTCTGTACACAAACAGGAGCAGGAGCAGGAGCAGGAGCAGGGGAAAAGGACGAGGCAGATGAGGAAGCGAGAAGGAGCGAGGAGCTGGGAATTGTAAAAACAAATGTTGTCAAACAACAATAACAAGGAAAAGGATGTCCTGCTGAGCGGCACAAAAAGTGCGTAGAACGCTGTGCGTTTGCAATTAAAATTTCCAAACTGAGAGAAATTCTTATTAAATTGAAAAGAAATATCAGCATCACCAGCAAGACGATCTAGACATGTCGGTAAAGTGTGTATCTTAATTTTATTTTTTGTAGAGATTCATTTACGCTTCCTTTCTGATTTTTAGTCTAGTTCTTTGCTTTATATTTTTTATTTATTTGACCCAACTTTTGATAATATTGAAACGTATTTCATGCACAATAATGATGGTTAATATTTTATAGTTTCAGAAATATTCAATAATTAATTTCCTTTGTAGTTTCTCCAAGTGCACCAATCATCCCGTCATCCTCTCCGCAGGACATGTGGCAAGGCAAACGCAGCGGGGGCAACCAAATTAGTTTCTCATTTCCAGGCAGTGTGAAATGCAGCGCAGGAAGCGCAAGGACCTGCAGCCGGCTGGCTCAATTCGATTTTAGGCTCGTCCGGCATTCGGGGATTTTTGTTAAATTCTGGCGGCGCATTGTCCGCTCACGTCCAAAAGGGACAGGTACACAGGTCCCAAAATATTGCCAGTGATTAGTGACTTTTTATGGACCGGTGGAGATGGTGAGGAAACGCCTGTGGCGTTAATTGTTTGTCTCCGGCTCATGGCTGTCCACGTCCTTTTGATTTGCACCGCCCTAAGAGGTTAATCTGGGCCACAGCGGAAGCGGAAACGGTGCCAGCAGTAGGCGGATATAGGAAGTCGGAAAGCGGAAGGCAGAAGCCGGACGGTCAGGAAATTAGTCGGAAAATTTATTTTGGATTGTTTGCCATTGGAAGGATAATGCAGATAAATAGATGGATTAAGATGCAAGGATTTGAAGGCAGGGAACACTGAGATATATAGTTCAGTTGTGGATACAAAGATATAAGTTACAACTGGAGAGTGATTTACCTTATTATACCTCTAGGGGGGGTCATTAAAAAGTACTCAATCCCTTTTTGGGTTCTCCGATTTATTGCTTGATGGATAAATACTGATTAATTTGGATTACTTGGAAATTTTGAAGAACTAAAACTATAGACCACCACGCGGCTGGACGGACTTATGCACTAAGTCGCGGATCGAAGCAGAGCTTCGGTCCCCGACAATGCATAATTTCCGGTCTCTTCCGCGCTCTCTTTCAAGGAGCTCACAGCCATTTCTTGGCTGGCGGCATTCGGCAGTCCAGATGGCTCGACTCTTTGTGGCGGGGAAAGCTGGGCAGATCCTTGACCTCGTCCTTGTCCATGTAGGGTTTCTGGTGGAGGGTAACACCGGCAGCAGTGCGCACCAGACTGCGTCTGTAATTGGTGCCCGCGAGGAGATAGTTCACCGGAAACTTCATCATTCCCGGCCTGTAATGGGCAATGGGACTGAGGCCCAACAGGACTGCGGTGTTCTTACCGCCGCCGGATGATCTGTAGGGATTAGCACCGGAACAGCGATTGCATCCTTCGTCCTGGTATCGGCTATCCACACCACCAGTCCGCTGGCCCTCATTGGACTCTGTGTGATGATGATGTCGGTTTTGATGTCTGCCCCTTCGACGGGCTCTCCTGCGCCTGCGGCTGTCGCCACCGCCGCACTTGGAGCAGGAACGGGGCCAGGAGGCACTTCCCGGAAGGAAGAAGACCGGGGGTTTGGAGTTCCTCTGGGAACTATCCGCATTTGAGGGCTCGTTCGGCAACGATGAGTCCTTGGATGCCTGCTGCTTGCAGCAGAAACGATTGAGATTTACCTGGCTGTTCTTCTTGTCATTCACATTGGGCTTTGTCATCTTGTTAGCCGGTTTGGGAGCATTCTGCTTTTCAGCAGGGGATTGAAATGATTCCAGGGTTTGGGAGAGAACATGCATCTGAGGAGGAGTGCATTTCCTGGGGTAGTAAGAACGATCGAGAGATTTCCCTGGAACCCTTATCCTGGGTCTGGGTTGCTTGAACTCCCTGGGCGGAAGGTCCTCTGGCTTGACATCAGTCGATCCTGCCGTCCTTCGCTTTTCGTTTTGGGCTTTCTTCTTCTTCTTCTTCTTGGGCTTATTCTTCTTTGCCTGATGTCCTTGAATGAAAATCTCGAGAGCCTGAGCTATCAGCATGGCAAGCTGTTCCTTGGTCTCGAATCCCTTGCGGCAGAACTCGCAGTTGCAGGTGCAGGCGCAGTCGCAGCTCTGTCCATGATCCATATCCTCATCCGGGAAGTCATCATCATACGGTTCCTCTTCCCTCAAGTACGGAGCTTCCCTCATGCTGCAGTCGAAGCTGGTGCAAGGCGTACGACACGAGTATCTATAGTCATCATAGTCTGAAAGGGAAGAGTATTTGGTAGTTAAGTGCATCCTTTTCCCTTTTTAAACTTACGTTCTGAGCAGCAACAAGGATGGGGACGTGGACACGAAGAGTGACCCTGGCCAGGACCCATATTGTAGCGGCAATCATTCGAGTGCTCATAGCCTCTATTATAGTCCATGTACTCGTAGTTAGTGTGGCCGGAAATGGGATTATTCTGGTAGTTATTCGTATTATTCTGGCACTTGTTTGCATTTTGCTGATAGTAGCCGCTGTTTTGGTTGTTTTGGCTGTTTTGGTAACAAGTTGGCTGTGGATTCTCCACTTGACCTGCATTGCGATTCATGGCCATGGATAGTTGATCGAACATTTCCTGCTTATTCTGACAGTCCTGCAGGACAATGACATTGAGGTTCGGATTCGCATCGGCCTGTTGCCATTGTCCATTCTGGTGCGGGGTAGAAGTTCCTGGCTGTTCCTTCCCCTCACACTGACACTGGAGATAGTTGTTGACCGCCGTGTGGATCCTCTCATTGCAGAGGGGACACATGTTCTGGCCAGGCTGAATGATCTCCACTTGGCCGCAGAGTGGACAAATCGCATTGGTTCCGCCGGAGCGACGTTTGGTGTGATGCTTCTTCTGGTCTGGTGCAGCCTTAGGTGGCTTGGGCGACTTCCTTGGCTTCACTTGTTCGCCACAAAGAATCTCCTGGGAGCAGTTAGTGGAACGACTGGGAGACCCTCTTGAGCAGTTGGAGGAACACATGGGACACTGCATGTTCTCCTGGCAGGGTGAGATCGTGTAATCCGGACACCTATCGCAGTTCCTCAGCACATAAATCCTCTCGGGATTAGCCGGCTGACTGCCAGGACACGGATCGCTGGTTCGCCGGCGGGGATCGTGAGCTGTCTGGTGGGAGACATCGGAGACGCATGATTCGTGGGAGGAGTAGGTCTGGTTAAACGCCTCAGAGCTCGTCCTGTGGTCCATAATTTTGTTGTTACCGAAAAGAGATTCATAAAATAAAATATGCCAATCCCAAGCTCCGACACGTGCCTCGAGGCCTATTGGTTGGCATCCCGAGACCTGGCCTGATTCCGCTTCTTGGACCGCCCGAAGAGCTGGCGCCAGCTCCACGGACTGCTGCGCGAGGTGGTGGGCACGTAGGGCTCACCAAAGACCCAGGACTGCAGTTGACCCAATCCCGTCCACTTTGGTGGCATCAGCATCATCGCAGAGAGTCTCTCCCTCCTGGGTTCCATGAACTCCTGCGGCCTCGGTTGAACGGGAACCGCGGGGTGAGTGCGAGGCTCCGCCGAGGAACGTGTGTTGAGAAAGGCCCCTCGGTAATAGGGATTTATCTCCGTGCCCAGATAATTGGCTGCCCTCTGTCCTTGGTGATCTGCTGGCGGCGTAGGATTAGCAATGTGACCAGGGGCTAGTTTTGGGAATCTGGGTTCTGGTTGGGATGGCTGATGAGGTTCCACCTGATGGAAATGTTCCTGCTGCGGTTGCTGTTGCTCCTGTTCCCTTTCCTTGCGGTGGGATCGCTCTCTGTTGGACCGATGTCGATGCTTTGAAGGACTGGGGACTTCACCTCCCACCGGCATGCTCCTATGTTGCTGCTGGGGTGCTGCCGGGACAGCAAATTGAGGTTCTAACTGAGGCGCCATTTGTGGTGCCATTTGTGGTGCCATTTGTTGCGTCATTTGTTGCGTCATTTGTTGCGCCATTTGCTGTGGCATTTGCTGTTGCATTTGCTGTGGCATTTGCTGTGGCATTTGCTGTGGCATTTGCTGTTGCATTTGTGGTAAATTCGCAGGTGTCCTTGGAGCTGTGGAAGAATCTCTTCCCGACGTTGGAGCATTATCCCTTCCCGCCATTAAACCCAGACGAGGATCTCTGCCCGGCATCGAAGTTATGCGAGGATCTCTTTTCGACGTTGAAGCTATGGTAGGATCTCTTCCTGACGTTGAAGCCGAGAGAGGAACTCTTCCCGACATTGAAGACAAACGAGGATCTCTTCCCGGCATCGAAACCATGTGCTCAGGTTGACTTCGCCTCTGGGCAGGCGGCGGAGCAGCTGCTCGACTTGAATGGTGATCGGAATGTGTCCTGGCTCGACTTTGGTAGGCGTTAGCTGGTGCTGGCACAGCCAATGATGGTCTCGGAGTGGAATATCGTACGGAACCATGTCCATTGGAGTAATCTACAAATAAGAAGAAACTAAAATTTGAACGAGGAAATGGAAAGGTGAGGGGAAACTTACTCGATCTCTGCGAGGATGTCCTGGTAGGCGACACAGAGAGACCCTCTGCGTATTTCTGCGTCCTCTTTAAGTTTGCAGCTATGGTACCCGTCTTATAGTGGTGATGATGGTGGTGATCATTGGCTCCGCCCTGGCAACGCCGATCCTTGCAGCACAGGATCAGCTCGTACTTGGTTTTGAAAGCTGACGACTTGGGACGCGTCAAGTTCCGGCTGAGGGTCCTGTAGATGCACCGATTGCTCTGGAAACACAGAAAGAAAATGAATAGTCTCAGATGTTAAGGATTATTACGCCATCTTACTGCAACTTCTGGCATCTTGGTCCTTGGTCTGCACTTGCAACAGCATCTTTGAGACGCTCCAGAGGCACATCTCTTGTTCGGCGACAAACACCTCTGCCTCATCGTCTTCTGGCAATGGGGACACAGCGTCATGGTCCGGTTTTCGGGACAACTGAATCGATAGCTCTTCACGGGCATCTCCATCAGGGTTTCGTTGGAGCAGGGCGGTGGCTTGCGACAACTGCGCTTGGTGCTTCCCGACTGGTGCCTCTGGCAGCTCGGCGACCGCGAGCTCGTTCGGAAGCATACCATGGGCTCCTCCATGGGGCAGGAAGGCTGCTTGCGACAACACCGTTGGGGCCTCTGGCAGCTTGGGGATCGCGAACTCGGCCGGCTGCAGTTATAGTTTCCGCAGCAATGCCCACTGTAGCAGGAGGTGGTCCGCACTATGGGGCTCTTGAGGCACGAAGCCCCTTGCCGATTCTTCTCCATATAATCGCTGGGCGTACTGCAGACACTGCTTGCCCTAGACTTTCCCCTCCGCGAGCAGCTTCTAGATCGGTTTCTGGACCTGGATCTCCCGCAGGGAGGCGGAGCAGGACACGGCCGCTTGGGAGCCGAATGACAATTTCCATGGACGTGGGAGAGAGCATGCTGACGAACCTCGCAGGACCGAGCCGCCGTTGTGGGTTTCCTTAGGTAATAACACTTGTCTGGGGGATTTATTCTGCGGCTGTGGGGACAACACCTCTCTACCGATTCCATCCTGGCTTCACAACAGCATTGCGATTGCTTCTGCTTCCGACGACGCATCCTCTCAAAGGACCCCTTTATACCAGCAAATCCTCTGGAATTCGATCGCTTGGGCGAGCAGGTCGTGGCAGCCGGTGTCATGGATGTGCAACTGCCTCTGGATAAGAGTGCCCGCCGAGATCCCTGGGAATATAAACTGCAATCCGTTGTCACATACACCGGATTCGGCTTGGGACTGTGCTGGAATCCCCTGTACTCCATGTAGTGGGTCGAGGGTGTACAGCATCCATAATCCATGACTGGCTGGACACATGTCTGGCATTGGCATTGGTGGGAAATCGGCATTATCATTGGGCTACAATCCTGGAATTCCTGATTCTGCCATCCTGAATTCTGCCATTGATTATCCTGGCAAGTACAGCAGTTTTCAACCTGATAGGTGGGCTGGCAATCACTCTGCGGAGTGTAATCACACAACGGGACAACGGGAAGACAGGTAGGTTGCTGCAAATGGCAATCACAATCACCGCCACACATTCTCAGGCTCTCTGGGATTGGGCTCTCCTCTGGATTCTTCACTGGGCTCTCCCCTGGATGCTCCTCGGGATTCTCCTCTTCCCCCTTGGGTTCCATGGCTTCCGTGGATGTGCTGCTCTCGTTGCCACCATGCTCAATAGTCAGAGACAAGGGATTGACTATGTCAGCCATGGAAAAAATGGAAAGGATTTGGGTTCTTAAGTAATTCCGGACAACATAAAGTGGTTACATTACAGATTTGGACAAACTTCTGAACGAGAAAGGTGTGTAGTTTTTTTACAGGAAAAAAAGCCTAAACACCAAACAAATGGTGTTGACTGATAACTCAAAGAGCAAAGGATCAGGCATGAATGTAGGAGTCAAAGCAGTATTTTATTTCAATGGAAAATCCTCTCGCCAAAGGGAAAGTCTTGGGTCTAGCTTTATTCCACCAACTTTTGCTGGAATATAGCTTTACTTCAGGCTTCACCCATGGTCCAAGGTCAATTATTAATTACAAACAAAATGAATTAGTTCTGGCTAAAATTTAGTACAGCTCTGACCCCCCGATACACTCCAGAGGCGACTGTAGGCCTTGTTCAGGGTCTTGGCGGTCATGGGCAGATCCTCCCACAGCTTCCAGCTGCATTTCGGGTCTAGAACTGAGCACACGGATCTTGGACTACGCATTTGGATAATCTGTTTGGATGAGGTGCGGGATCGAATCCTTGAAGGAGTGCGGCTAAGATTCGATCGTCCTTGGCTTAGCTTCGAGTAATCCGGCTTGGGCCAGTGCAGGGGCCTTCTCATGGGCAGAAATGGCAGTGGACCAGAAGAGTGACATTCCAGGTCATCCAGGCGGCTGCTCAAACGCTTTCGCATCCTTTTCCGACGACCAAATCTGGGATTAAACCAGGTCTTCGTCAGTTTAGGCTATACTGTGCTTTTTCAAGGACTTACCTGGGATACTCCTCCTGATAGGCATTGGCGCAGCGTTGCGAGAACTCCTCTTCTTCCCGCCGAATCCTTTCATCCCCTGTGGGGTTTCTTCTGTTCATCTCAGACTTGGTCAGCAGTTCACCTTCGTCCTCGTCCTCATCTGAGGCCACCATCAGATACACAGAGTACCGTTTCCGGAGACCACCATCATCCCCGCCGGATCCTGCCCTCAGCCGACTCTGCGTCCCCTGTGCGTCAGCTGGTTTCTCCTTGGATTCACACATAAGTGTCACCAGTTGCATCAGCGACTGACACATGGGATCCGCATTCAATCCCTTGACCTGTTCACTCCTCAAAAGTTCGTTGATATTGAGCTTCCTGGATCCCTTACCCGCTGTATCCAAGGTGGCTTTCAGAGGCACCTGTTTGAGGAGTTCACCCAAAGGATTAATCTGGGTATTGGTGGCCTTGTCCACCAGAGAAGTTCTGCTTCGATGAGGAGTCTTTGCGGGCTCCCAATCGGCTTGACTTTGTTCTGTGGTTAGGGTTATGGTGCTGCTTTCGTTTTCCAAATCCAGAGGATCCTTGGAGCGTATCTCGTCTCTGCTATACTTTACTCTCTTCCTGGGAACTCCAGGCTTTTCTTGCGGCTTGGTTGTGTCAGGACTCTTCTTGGTTTCCTGATAGGAAAAGTTTTGATTTCTATTCGGGATTTGAGGCACACAAATATCCGAGTCTGGATTTTCTATGAAGCTGCTGGCGAACTTCCCGAAATTAAAGTAATTACTTTGCTCCAGAAACTTCTGCTGCTGCTGCTGCTGCTGCTGCTGCTTCTGGCGATGTTGCTGCAGTTGCTGTTGCACCTTTTCCAGCTCCAGGCGATGCTGCTGCTTCTGAAGCGCCGCCTTTTGGTGCTCCTGCCTTCTCTGGAGCCTCCTTCGTAGCTTCTGCTGCTTGTGGAGCTCCTTCTGCTCCTGCTGCTGCTTCTGGAGATGCTTTTGGTACAAAATCTGATGCTGCAGCATCCTCTGCTGCTCCCTCCTCAGCAAGTGCTGTCGCATCCTCTTGCTTGGCCTGCGTGGAGCCTCGGGCATGGGCTTTACCGGCTCCACTAAAGGCGCCTGAAACTGAACGGGTGCCTTGATGGTCACTCTTTTGGCATTGTGAACTCCAGCACTCTCCAGCTGCGACGTTTTCTTCAAAATACCCACAGGAACGGGCCGATGAGGCTGCTGATGCCAGGACATTTGATGCATTGGAACGTGCGCAGGATAACTGAGAAGATTTCCCTGCTGATACTGAAAGGATCTTTGGGGTTGCAGGGTAGCCACAGGTCTGGTGGGTACTTGGCGGTAGCCCAGATGTGGAAATCCGGGCATAAGGGCACCAGGCTTGAGCAGAGTTCCCTGATTGCCACAGCATCTGCCCCACACGGTCTGGTACTCCCTCTGAAGTGGCAAGTGCTGCTGCTGCTGGGTTTCCCTGGGCTGCTTCACCAGTTGACGACGCGATGGACTCAATGGCGCTGCTCCGCCCAGCTTGTGGCACATCGAGTGCCAGTACTGGGGCATGGAGGCAACCAGGTGACCTTGAGGCCGCTGCTGCTGCTGCTGCCAGAAATTCTGGTAGGCGCTCATCGAAGCCTGCTTGGCCGAACTACTCAGAAGTCTTCTTCGAACCATTTTGGTTCCTTTAATTTAATTTAATTCAGGTAAAGTCTATGTTTGAAAGTTTCCACTGGCTCGCTCAACTCTTTCTGAATTTTGTCTTGCTTTTTCTCGAGCTTTTGTGGGTTCATTAAAAATTTTGATTGCATTCTATGGTCCATAATTATTATGGAAAGAAAGCCTTGACGGGGAAATCAAGGCTAGCCTGGAGTAAATTATAAGATTTACACCTCTGTGAAGATTTTCCCATACCTTATTTTGTTACGTCCTTATTAAATGTCAAATTAAGATTTTGTCCTTTAGAAAATATAATCTTAATTATAATTAATACTAAAATTCCCAACAAGTTTAGGCTTTGATAGAAAATAGTCAAAAAAAATCTTGTAAAAAAATGTTGAATTAAAGCAATTGTAATTTATTTATTCCTACATAAAGTATATTATTATTATAACTAATAAATACTAATTCTTATAATCATTTGATTTACTTATATTGTAAAGCTTCATTGAAGTCCTAACTTTTTTTCTCCAACTGTTTGAGAAACTTCAAGCTGACGTCACGCGACTTCTGATGCGTAACTCCTGCTCTCTTTACTTTTCCCTCTCTCATTTACCCAGAAGCTCCATCTCTTTCTCCCAACGCCCACGCACTTTACCGTAATAGTGGAATTCCCGGCTCCAGTTTCATTCAGCTGCCTGGCTGGCTGCTGGCAGAGAGCTTGAATCAATGGCCAGTTGGAAGTTTCATTCATGGCCGGGCCGTAGCGCCTTCCAGCCTTCCTTCCCTCCCTGCTCTCTTCCTCTTATCCTTCCGTGTTCATCCAGTGCGTATTCCAAGCTGCGCAGGCCATACAAACCAAAAACCGTTACAAAAGCAGGCGGGTGAAACTACGTAAGTTTGAAAATATCGTTAGGAACTCACTTCACACTTCACTGTTCACTAGTACTGAACGAATTTTTTGGTTTCCATTCAGTCTAAAATTTTTTTTTCAACTTTTCTAAGCGAGAAAAAGATGGTGTCCTTCGGTTGTATCGCCAAGGTGCTAAGAGGCCTCGAGTGCAAAACGAACGTCTGGATCAAGACTGTAAATCCAGGTTGGTACGAGGCCCGCGAATTCCCCAAGGCCATATTCACCGAGAAGGTGTTCCAGAAGACCAGCACCAAGAGCCACGAAAAGCATGATGAGCCCAATACCGCCGAGTCGGCCCAGAAAGTAGGCACTCCAATGCGGCAGCCATACTTCTGAGCTGAGAATCATTTCGAAAAATCGTGTTTTATATGCTGGCAAGTATATTTTTATTTTACATTTACATTTAGATATAACCTCAATAGAATCACTGGGATTTAATTATAGCTTACACATTTAAGTATATTTCTTCCCAAATAATATACTATTGTACTCTTTCTCTTACAGATTAATTTACATTTCAAAATTCACATAAGCGGTGTGTAATAACGAATAAGAATTTCAAATCGCCCTGCTTAGTGTTGTTAACCGTCGAAATTTACCCTGGTGCGGCCCTGGAAGCATTTATCGATTGCTGTCTATCGCACTCGCCCACCGCTTGGTCACACTCTTTCGAATTTTTGGCATTTTCAAGATGATTTTAGAAACCAGTTTAATGTTGCTCGAGTAGTTGGTCACACCGTGTCGTGTCCAATCAGAATCGCATTCGACGGCATGATGAAAAAATTCCAATAGAATTAGCCGAGGGCGATTATTAATGCCAAATTTGCCGAAAAACCAGCAATGTGAATATCTGTGTGTTATTCGTTAAATGTTAAATGCAGCGCGCTTCGCCCACGCGTTCGAGATTGCCACCGCGGTTCAAGTGCAAAATACGAGTGTGTGAGTGCCTATATATTATGTACAACGGCAATAAGCAGTAAGCAGCAGCAGCAGCAGCAACAACAAGCCGTTTTGTTGTTGTCCAGTGATAAGCGAATATAATATAACGCAAATATAATACAAATTCAACGTGAAAAGAAATCTCGCAGAAGCAGTAATAACAACAACTTGGCGACAAATGGAAATAATAAAGTAAAGTGATGGAAAGCCTGAGAAGTGGAGAGGCAAGATAGAGAGATCGAAATCGTAATGTGTAAGCGGACAAACCAACGGAAGAGAGAGGGAGAGAGGAAAACAAGAAACAGCGTCACAGCGAAGATTAAATAAATTTACAAGTGTGTTTTGTGTTTGACCAGCTTTCGTATGGTTTTTGTTCTTGTTGTTGCGATGGCAGAATAACAACAACAGTACGCATTTTACATGCTCCCGCTGCGTTGGTGTTAGCTCGTGTGTGTGTGTGTGTGTGTGTGCGTGCGTGTATGTTTCCAACTATTTCCAGAGGTGGGCGCGTGACACACTTGCTGGCCTAATGCCATTACAAGCAGGTTGTTTCCGAAAGACATTGCGTGAGTCACGTAGCCACCACCTCCGGCAAGTCGTGAGATGCGGAAGCTAAAAACATATTCATGAATGGCAATTATGTGCTCTGCGCTGCGGCAAGTTTTACCTTCGATACCGAGAGCCTGTGTGAAAAACAAAACTGCGCGTACGATTTTCCACTTTGTGGAAGTCGTGACGTTTTTCCACGCATAGCCAGTGTGCCAGTGTACGGGGGCTCTCTTTTCGAGCGAGTTCGCTAGTGTGTGTGTGTTAGTGTGTGTGTGCGCGCGCTCGTACGTCATGGCAACTCCGGTAAAACGCAAATAAGGCAGCAAAAAAGCCAATTGCCGTTAAGTGGTCTAATTGGACACCTTGCGCTTTACTTGTTTATACTATTTACCATTTGGCGAGCCGTTATCAATTGCACGGGCTTTCTCTTGTAAAAGCGGCTGTGTTTGTGTGTGAGTGCGACCTCGACGGGTTTTTTCTTTGCTTTTTTCTTTTGTTTTGCGTTGTCCTCACACATATTCAATACACGGAGAAACAGCAGATATTCTTTGATAGTAAATAGCAAAATTAATTAAAAATCAAAAGGAAATTATTGCTTCTTACCCCTTTTTATTGCTAATTATAAAATAATCTTTCAAATATTTAACTAACTCTAACTAAAATTTCTCCCCGTGTATTTAAGTTTAATTGTAATTTTTTCTGCCGTTTACTTCACTTTTCCTGTGAAATTCCTTGACTCCCCGAAACCTTAAAACACACACACGCACACACACTTGTTCGCACACCCACAAACTGTTGCTGCGCCCCCTTCTTGCTCACCCACACACACAGCCATGCAAATACTGGCGCTGATAGCCCGTTCTCCCTCTAGCCTTCAGCAATCGATGGGGGCGACTGGCGGCGACGACTGTCTCTCGCATGTTTGCTTTGGCTCTATCTCTCCTCCCGCCCTCCCGCTCTGCGGGACCCCCTTCTTGGCCGTCTGCTTTGCTGTCTGGCTTTGGCTGCTGTATAAGTCCAAGTTCTCTAGCCTTTGTTGTTGTTTCTGTTTTCGCCCTCCTTCCTCCCTATTTCGTTTCGGTTTGTTGCCTCATTTATTTTACTTGTCGTTTCTTTTCGGCATTTCGTTGCCTGTTGTTTTTATGTTTTTTTAATCATTTTTGCTTCTCTGATTTGGTACAAAAAAAAAATTAAAGCGCGCTACTGCTGTTAGTTATCAGCAAAAGTACGGTCCCGATACGTGGAAGAACCATTTACACACTATATCCATAACACAAGTCCCCAAAAGGTTCCCTAATTCCAAATGGAATTTTCTGTAAAATAAAGTTATTTAAGATATTTCAAATCCATAGCTTTATTTGACGCCTCTTAAAGATTTTACAGTTTTCCCATTTTCCTCAAACAGCTTCTTATTTACCTAATTTTGGGTGCATGAGGAACACCCACAGGATTTTGAGCGGAAGGCGGTACCTTTAACCCGGTGACGTCTTTTGCATCCCACTTTTTACTCTCCTCTCGTTTTGGCTCTCTCTCTCTCTCTTGTGTGTCACTCCCTCTCTCTCTCTCCAGCATGTGCGCTGGAAGCGTGCTGGCTGGCTGGCTGGAAGTGACGTAGCAGCCTCTCGCGAGGCGGCTGCTCCAGTTGACTTCCAAATTGGAAGTTCATTCAGCTTTGACTTTTGACTCCGTGCACTTCGTTCTCTGGCAGGTTCTCTGTCTTTCCTCCGGTTTTTGCGGTATGTCTTATCATCCGGTTATCCGGTAGTTTGCCCGCCGCCCACTTCTATTGCCTGACTGGACTGGATTAACAACTGTTTTGTGTCTGTGGATGATTAATGCAAATAAACAAAGGAAAAGCTATCGAAAGAAACCTTTTAGAAATGTGAAAATGTGCGAGGGAGAATGGAAATGGAAAGGGAGAGGGAGCGGTACCGTTTGCATTGTTGTCCAGCTGCCGCTGCTCTTTTCGCACCCACGAAATATCACGCGAAACTGGAGGGGAGAGGGGAAAACAATTTGTTTATATTATGTGAATGTGCGAGTGTTCTTGGTTGTTGAGTTAATGTTTGATCATCATCATCGTCGCCGCCTGCTTCCTCTTCTTCGCACAAAACGCACACAGCCTCTGCTCTAAATTGATTTCAATGAGCTTTTTTGACGATTGCCCCTCCCCCGCCCCCTTTTCTTTTATGGTGTGAGTGAGTGAGTGAGTGAGCGATCGAGTCTCCCTTCATATTCCCCTCTCATTTCTTTCGTTTGGCAATTATGTGCGAATGTGTGGTTGTATGTATGTATGTGTATGTGCAAGTGCCCGGTTTTCATACGACCTTGATGCTGTACATTAACCCATTGAGAGCCCCCTATGTCTCTATCTCCCTATCTCTCTCTCTGTGTACTCTCTTGCTCTTTGCCGATCAGCTTACAAAGCATAAAAAACCCTGTTTTCCTCTTCTTGGCCTTCTTCTTCGTTTTCTTAAACTTTAGTTTACTGTTTACACTGCCCGCAAAAAGTTTGTTATTAGTACTGGAACATGAAAAGGAATGCAATGTTTATAATGGGTTTTTTAGATCCTTTTTAAGGTATACAGAAATATGTTCTTTATTTTGACATTCATAGGATAATAACTACCAACCGTGATTAATGTTGGAAAAATATTTCATGTGTTTGCCTTTTGTTTTCTCTGAGTTCTCTGCTCGAATAGATAACACGTTCCCAGTGGTTTTTATTGTTTTTACTTTTGTTGTTTTTGTTGCTATCTTTGGTGTTTGCTTTGCTCTTTAACCCACACACACACACACACATGCCACGCCCTCCCTTGATAAAGACAAGGAAAAAAAAGCCCAAGGTCAATGAATAGGAAAATACGTGCCTTCATATAATAATTTTCCTCTTTTTTTGCTTCAAAAAGGTGACCGAAGCTGATAAAAGCGCAAAAATCGAAATTTAAAAAGCATTTTGCGGCCAAACAAAGAACAATTAAAAATCAGACTTGAAAGTGTCGTAAAATCAAGAAAAAACAAATATATAAAGTTCCCCGAAAGTGCCGTTTTCCCTCCCCAAAAAATAAAAGAGTGAAATAAAGTGCGAATCGGAGTTACCAGGTGGGCATGGCCCACTGCCCGCCACCAAGAATCCGCCGGAGCATCCGAACGAGAAGCTGCCATTGACCTCTTAATCGAATTAAGTGCAAAATTATTTAGTGGAAATCATAAGGAGGAATTAACATCGCCTCTCAGTGTTGCTGGCGGCGGCTCTCCGTACACCAACCTCCCATATCCCGCATCCCGAAGACCCCGGACCAGTCTCCCTTTGCCGTACCCGTGCCCGTCTCCGTGTCCGTCTCCGTCGTCCGTCTCCGGGTTTCAGTCTCGCCGCCAGCAATTGAAATCGCGCACGAACTCCGCGACAAAAGAAGATGCATTTTAAGTGAATTTCCTGTGCGCCGAAGCCAATTAAGCCGCTGAAAATCCAATCCCATTTGTGAAATCCCCTCCCCAAAAAATAGAAAGGAAAATCCATCTGCGATGGCCACCACACCAACGGCTGGACCAGCAGCATCAGCAGCTCCACCGACCTCAACGCCCCAAAACTACAAGGTGCCATCGACCAGCAAGATATCCGTGGATAAGCTCCTCCGCGTGGGATACTATGAGTTGGAGAAGACCATCGGCAAGGGTAACTTTGCCGTGGTCAAGCTGGCCACGAATATTGTGACCAAGACAAAGGTAAGTCCTTGCCCCATAATATCATAAATATACAAAAATAACGTAAACTCTAAGCTCAAATCCCGATTCCCTCAATTAACAATTTGTTAACTAGTTAGTCATAACTGACTAAGCGCGTATTTGTCTTAACAATTGACATCAGTCGGTTAAAAGATCGATTATATATGCATTATTTCAATATATGTAGAAAAACAGTGGAAAAGGGGAAATGACTATATACTATACTGTAGAAAATTAAAATATTACCATCCATCATTCAAATATTGATCAACAAGGAAACAAAGAAAGTGAAGTAAAATATTGATAAAGCTTGAAGCAGTTGAGAATTATAAAGCACAAGTTTGGAGAGATATGTACATAGATTATATATATAATATATATATATATATAGAAAATAAGCATGGATGGATTTTAAGGGACTTGAGCCGAGCTGAGGTATTAATTAACTTTACAGTTTGAATATTACCATATGTTATTCAAAAATGATCATCAAATAATTTGTTTGGGAGTTATAGAGCATATGTTAGGGAAATTTAAAAAGAATCAAAGTAGAAAATCGATTTTAAGTGTCAAACTAGTACTATAGATACTACTATATCTTTCAGATACTCACAAAAATATATCATTGATCAAGTGAGCAACCACTTCATGCTCTGCGATGATTTTTCTTTTTTTGCGCATTTGAGTCGATCAAATTGATTTTAGTTGTTGTTCTTTGATGATTCTGTTTATTGCCGCGTAAATATGTGTACAATAATTATTTACACAACTTATTGACAATCGGGAGTTTCGTTTCGATTTCGGCATCGCGGCATCTTGGCATCTTTCAGTTTCGAATTCGTCGGATTTGGTTGCCTGGCTTTTGTGTTTTTTTTGCCTTCAATTGACAATGTCTGAGAGGGGAGAAAGGGGGAAAGGGTAGTGTGTGTATATTCTGAGGTGGCAATCGACAGATGCTAATTGAATCGCATTTGTAAAGCGTTCCGAGAGTATATATGTTAGGTATGTGCTTTAGGCATCTTCCCCTTGTGTATCTGTGTGAACCTTTTGAGGAAGTAATTGAGTTTTGCCTCTTGTTTTTGTTTTTTTCGATGTCATTTGCATTTACAAATCGGTTTTTTATATGTTCCTTTTCCCTTTGAGAATTTCCTGCTATAAAGTCTCAACTCTCTGAAGTTGATGAGCTGAGTAATTCACAATTAGGGAAAGGTATTACCTGGGTGCATGTAAAAGATTGAGTCACCTTTGTATCTCTTTTTGTAACAGTGTCTCTGTGAGTAAGAACAACAAATGGATGGATGATGTGCAAACAGCACAGCTGTGACACTTGATAATTGGGCTTGTCAAGAGAAATACTCGCCCCAACACATGGCAGCTACAATAAAAGCAATATAAATGGGGGAACTTTAATCACTTGACAAATAAAGAACAATTTGAGGCAGTCGGGGCTATAAGATACGGGAGAGAAGAATGCAAATTCGTAGAGTAAACCGATCGGAATGAATTTTTGCATAATTGACAACGTTGAGGAATCTGCGCTGAGCACGTGCCTCTGATGGTGGATATCGATCTAAGTAATTATCGCCGGATATGACATGATTGAAATTATCAACACTGTCACACACGATTAACGAGGAAGCCTCCAAGATGCTTTTGTTTATTGGGGTCAATGTTCAAATTGAATAAAAATCTTCAGCTTCTTCAAAGTTCAAAGAAATTATTCAATGGAAAGTTAATCTCTCGGATAGATTAATGGCCATAAATAAGGAGTTTAAATACTTTAATGAATCGAATTAGGTAGAGGGTTTCGTTCGGTAGCACTTGATAATGATAAGCCGATCGATTGTTTGCTGGCTGTAATGGAATAAAGTTTCCCGCCGTCGATAAGGACACAGCTGTTTGACACTTTCAAGGTCCAAACGGTGCTTACTTATCTTATTATTATATGCCAATCTATATAGTATTTATGTTTGTGTGTTTTTAGAATTATATTATTGCCTTAGAGCCCCGCAGCTTATCTCTCTCTCTCTCCCCTTAAGCGCATTTGCCAATAATTTACTATTATCAATGGAAAATGGCAAAAGTTCACTTGTTCCATAGGTACATAACACATACAGAGTAAATAAATTGAATTATGATTATTTGTATAAACCGAAGCAACCGCGAATAAACACAAACGATAAGAAACCATGGCGATATGTGAGAACTTCCAGCTAAAGGGAGTGTGTTGTATATCGTAAAAGAAAAAACCTAACCAACCATAACCTAGTTTAAATGAAAAATCTATAAAACAATGGGTCATTTATCATTTATAATAATAAAACGTATATAAAACATCTGATCAATTGTGTCGTTTTCCCTCCTTAAATATTGCCAGCATGTGTGCCGAGCATGTCAAAATATTAATTGTTTACTTTCTTTGTTTGGAGTTCTACGCTCTCTTGATCGCTTTCACGTGCCGTTTCAAATTCAATTTTAGTTTACTTTAATTTTTTTGTAGGTTTTTTCCCCCGTTTTGTTTGGTGTGCGGAATGTGTTTGCACTCAATTGGCAAGTTTTAGTTTAATTGAATTTTTCGCTGTTGCCTTGGCAACTATTTTAATGCTCCAATTGATGCAATTAAGCAGCAGCAGCAGTCGCAACCATGCAGCGTGGCTACTTGATATCCCCACTCTTGTATTTAACACGCAGAGAAATCCCTTAAATTGAACTTGCTTTTTGTAATTGAAAGTACTTATCCATATAAATTTATAACCCTTATTTCACCCTTAAGACACACACGGCGTATACTTAATTTAAGGGTTTCCACGTTAAGTATACGCCATGTTGGCCCGGAAGCTGACCAGTTGTATGGAAAAGCCTGAGTCTGAAGCTCCAAATGCTTTGAATTTGAAACTAAAATGAATATCCAGACCTATAATAAGACTAAACCGATTTTTATACGATTTTTACAGGGTATATAATTTAGTCAGAAGCTTGTTACGAAGTGAAGGAGTCATTTCCGACCCTATAAATCATATATATTCTTGATCAGCATTAAAAGAGGAATCGATCTACATGTTTTAATGAAAGAAAACTTTGAAATTTTTTTTTGACATTTTTTAAGGTTTTAAAATGGTTAAAAAATTGATAAAAATTTCAATTTTTTTAATTTTAAACTAAATGTGCTGGGTTGTTAGCCCGGTTAAAAACTAGCACAGAACAGCTTTCCGAATTGAAATTAATGCATTTTTAGCCTAGTTATGATAATTGAAAAACTGTGATTTTCATGAAAAATTATCATATAAAAGCATTGATCTATTTAAGGAACATATTTTAGGTGCTATTTGTTATAATTTGTTAAGAAGGCATTTCCGACCCTATAAATCATATATATTCTTGATCAGCATCAACAGCCGAGTCGATCTAGACATGTTTTAAAGAAAGAAAAATTTGATAATTGTTTTCAACATTTTTAAAGGTTGCAAAATTATTAAAAATTAAGAAAAAATGACAATTTTTTAAATTTCAAATTGAGTATGCATATTTATTATTCTAACAGAAACTAGCATAGGACAGCTTTCCGAATTGAAATTAATGATTTTTTGGCTTAGTTATGAGTTTCTAAAGTTTTGATTTGTCTAACAAATTTTCATATAAAAATATCTATAAATATCGGTTCAATTAATGAGAATATTTTAAGTTATTTGAATCGAACTGCAAGGGTATATAAGCCTTGATTCCCGAACTTAATTTACTTTCTTGTTAATAGTAAAAATTATAATATATTAAACCGGAAAAGGTATCTAATGCTGATAGTTGCTTCTTCCTGAGATTTTTTCGTACCTTCTCTTTCTTCATTTCTCTTAATTACCAATTCTTTATAGCAAATTGTACATTTTTTTCCCCCGTGTAGCCCTGCTTTCCCTCTCTCTTTTTGGCGCGTATCTGGCACCTCTCGCTCTCGCTCTCTCTATCCCGCACTCGTTGATTGATCTTTCGCTATGAGCAAATATTTAAGCTGCCGTCTGAGCGGTGAGCGTTGGCTTTTGGCCAGCAGACCGAAAACATGTTTGAACATCTAACACGCGTCAGACCGAGTCGTGGGGCTGAAAGGGACGCCCAGCAAGTGGGGGTGCGAGCGAGATGGATGGATGAAATCGTTTAACAATTTTTTATTTACCTTTTCATTAACAATTTCGCGGCTTTTTGCTGCTCGTTTTTTTTGTGTAGTCTGCGTTTTTTTCTTGTATGTATAATATTCGAGTGTGTGTGTGCGTGTGTGTGTTTACAAAACCCAAAAAATCATGCGCACTAAATCTTCCATCTCTTTTTGTGTTAACTATTTACTATTTTCTCATTTGTTGTTTTTATGTCTGGCAGCGATAGTAATAAAATTATGTTGACTCTCTTCCTCTTGCGGCAGCCTCGAAATAATTTCGGTTTGATAAGAGTAAATGTGTGTTATCAAGCGGTATTCTTCTGCCTTTGCTGCTTCTCCAGCGGTTCTTTTTGTCGGGCAAAATAAATTCGCAAATCAGTCACGTGCGCCGCCTGCCCCCTCCCTCCCACACGACCCATAGAAGGGGTGGGGAGGGAGAGGTGGGGAGAACACCGACAGCACGCGCCAACTTTATGCTCACTCTCCACTCTCCACTTTCCCATCTCTCCACTCGCGGGTAGAGCTTTTGTTTTTGATTTCAGTTTGCAGGCGATAGCAAAATAAATAATAAAACAACATAAATTCAAGTGTTTCCTCCACCATAAACAGTAGAACTTCTTTAGGGTGAACGTTTAAACCTTGGGATCCTTGAAAATCTTGAAATCTCTATAAACCTTAAACCTGCTATCTCTGCCTTTAATTGTTTATAATTAAAACTGTCTCTTGCCTTTGCTTAAGCTACTTTAAGTTCTTATAGCTGATTATTTAAAGGCATTTCACTTAAAATTAATACAAGTTAGACTGAAGTATAGATAATTAATTTATTAAAACTCATAATAAAATTCATTCAAACAATGATTACTATTATATTGAAAATGCAAATCAAAATACAAAGTTCACATTTTTCTTGTGTTTTTAAGTTATTTTCTATCATAAAGACCTTCGATAATTAATATTTATTTAGTTTTTTATTATTTGCAACTTTTAAAAATGAATTAAACACTACATAAACACCCCCGAAATACAAGTTTATATCTTAAATAAATCCCCTTTTGCTGTATCATTGCTTCACTGTATTTCCTTAACCAAAAAAATTGATCAACGCTGCAAAACTTGTGATTAGCACTTGAGGTTTCGGTTGTTTTTGACGGATTTTCCCTGTCTGGCAAAAGGGTAGTGATTAGAGGTTTAAGTTGCTGCCAGCACAACCACTTTTAGCCCGATTTCATTGGCAATTAAGTAGGCCATGACATGGAAACTGTGTAATTGTAGTAATCGATTTTCCATTTCCACTGGAACTTGCCAGGCGGCAGTCGGCGGCGGTGGCAGTGGGAAAATTTTAAAATCCAGCTAGCGCCAAATAGAGTTTACTGACCCCAAAAACAAAAACAAAAAACAAACAAATAAAAATATAAAGAAAAGAAAAGCCAGAGAGAGCGCAGAAATTGCAGCAGCCAAAAGGAAGCGAGGAGGGTGAAAGCGAAGAAGGAGGTCGCACACATCGATTAAACACGCGGAGAAAGGGGGGCGGCTACCTGAGGGGGGTGCCCGGGTGGTAGTTACCTGTGGGGGTGCGCTGCGCTGGCAACACGTTTGATTACCGCGTGTAAATAACAACAACTGCACGAATACTGCAAAACTTGCAAGGACTCGCCATCGTCCTCGTCGTCGTTGTGCAACAATCACATGCCACAGAAGCCCCAATGGAAAGTCCCAGCAAGTCGCAGGAACTACTGGAGCCTCAGCCGCCGGCTCCTGCGAAAGCCAAGCCCCCGGAGAAGCCGATTCGAAAGCGAAATGTAGTCAAAGTCACGCCGCATATCCAGACCAGGACCCCGAAACCCACACCCACTGCCATTCTCTGTGAACTGACGCGCCTGAAGGCCCAGCAAAAGTATCTCGAATGCAATCAAGTCAAGCTAAATCCCAATAATTTCATACTCGACGATGAGGAGGAGGACAACAAGGTCGTGGAACCAAAGTCCGAGGATGAATCCGATCCACAAAGTGGCAAGGGTAAAAGACCCACAAGCTCATCCACCGCTGTCCTCATAGGTCTGATCAATGAAATCGAACAGGAGAAGTTGGATTTGAACCAAAAGTTTAAGGAATATCGGTCGGAAAAAAGGAGAGAACTCCAGGACATGTGGCACTATGTGGCCGCCATCAAGGAGGATGTCTTCCAACCAGAGCGCCTCAGTCAGTATACGGTTAATGCCCTCAGACAACGAATCATTGGCGTTAATGGCCAACTGGAGCGTCTCACTCTGAAGAACTCAAAGGAGCTGGAAACATTGAAGGAGGAGTACGAGAAATTGGAGAAGGAAAATACCTTTATATGGAAGGGTAATATGTAACTAACAGTCTAGAATATCTTCTGTCTTAAATCTATATATGTGAAAATACTATACTCGCAAGTAATGTCCAATAAAACCTAATGTGAAAGTGAGAAACTTGAAAACTTAACTTTTAGCTTGCTTTACTTTTCTATATTTAAAATGCAAACTTTATGGGTATTTAAACTTTAGCTTTCTGAAGTCCTGGAACTGTTCGTTGTTAACTGGAAATTCTTGTCTTTATATATTTGTAAACTCTTCTCCATTTTGATACACACTGCGTATACTTAATTTAAAGGTTTTCAGGTTAAGTATACGCCATGTATACCCACTAGCTGACCAGCTGTATGGAATATAATGAAAAGGTTGCTTTACTGCCCTGAATTTTAAACAAAAATATCCAGTCTTGTGGCAAGAATTAATTTTTTCAGCTGACAATATTTATAGCAAATTTTAGTACGATTTTTGTATTTTAATTTTACTCAGAAGCTAGTAACGTTGTGAAGGAATCATTTCCGACCCTATAAATCATATATATTCTTGATCAGCATCAACAGGCGAATCGATCTAAGCATGTTTTAGAGAAACAAATTTTTGATAATTTTTTTCAACAATTTTTTTAAGGTTTTAAAATTGTAAAAAAATTGATAAAAATTTCAATTTTTTTAATTTAAAAGAAAATGTGCTAATTTGTTAGCCTGGTTAAAAACTAGCATAGGACAGCTGTCCGAAGTGAAATTAATCCATTTTTGGCGTTGCTATGACATTTGAAAAACTGTGATTTTGACGAAAAATGATCATATAAATAAATTGATCTATCTAGAAGATATATTTTAGGTGTTTTTTGTTATAATTTGTGAATAAGTCATTTCCGACCCTATAAATCATATATATTCTTGATCAGCATCAACAGGCGAGTCGATCTAAGCATGTTTTGGAGAAAATAAAAAATTTTAATTTTTTCCCAAAATTTTATACAAATTTTTACATTTTTTAAGTTGTTAAAAATTGTCCAAATTTTTAATTTTTAAAAACATTAAAAGAAGTATGCAGATTTGTTAAGCTAATAAAAACTAACATGGGAAAGCCTTCCGAATGAAAATTAACGATGTTTTGGCTTAGTTGTGAGTTTTTAAAACATTGATTTATCTTATAAAAATAGCGATAAATATTGATTGAAATAATTCGAATATTTTAAGCTTAGTAAAGATTGATTTCTGATTCTATCACATTATTCAATTGGAAACAGCAGGGGTTCATAGACTTAAGCTTTCCGAAATTAAATTCCTTTCTTGTTAAAACTAATATAAATTAAATAAAGAACCCTCTATCCAAAAGAAATCTAATGTTTCTAGTGAATTACGATTTACGGATAAATATTGCTGAAAAATTCTTGACATTCTTTCGCCGCCGCTTTCCCTCCGCTCGACACTTTTGTAATCAAGACAAGCCATTTGAGACCTTGCCTTGAGTTTTCCCCTTTAAATCAATAGGACCTTTTGATACGAATTTGTTGCTGTTGCTGCTGCTTTTTTCGCTTCAGCCTTTTGGCTGAAGGATTCCTTGGGCGACATTGGTATTTTTGTTGCTGCGCCTGGTGACTGGTGACTGTTATAGTTGTTGTGTATTTCTGGTTGCGATTATTTTGAAATGTCTCATTTGCGAAGGCTCGATGTTCATCGTGACCAGACCGGGGAAAGGTCAAATGGCACGTGGCAATGGCATTTTGTGGCCCCCCCTCTCTCTCTCACTCTCTCTGGGGAAACCCCCTTAATTTATTTCGTAGTATTGTTGGTAGTAGGAATAAGCCTGAAGTTCACAGCCCGCGCTCACGTGGCAATGGCGCCTCGTTTCTAGGGCGTAATATCAGTGCAGAATCAGCTTTTGTTTCACATGCAATTATGTAAAAGTGTCAAACTCATCTGGGTAATACTGTACTGGTGTGTGTGTTTCTTCCTATTATAAACAAATAGTGTTGGCACACTTATTTACTTGTCTCAAGTTCAAAGTCTGCGAGATTTTTGATTGAAAGTGTGTGCCTGTCGCCAATCTTTGCGATTTGAAAATATATAGAGAATATTGTTCATGAGAAAGAAATACTAAAGAAAGCACGGAATTCGGGGAATCAAAACAATAGGAATTATAAAAGAAAACCGGGGGCTATGAGGGAGAGCCACTGCGCTTGTACTTGCTTGTGTTGTTAATTATTTAACATTGTGTTAAATATTTTAAATGTTTTTGCGAATACACAAAAGCAAATAAACAGTCACCGACGACGGCGACCGAAAGTCGTGAGCAAAGAATGCTGTTTTTTTTTGCTTGTCTCGTCTCCCCGAGAGTCTGCTCCGCTCTGCCAGTTCCTGCTCCTCCTTCCACTCTCCGCCGGAACCCTCTGCCGGAGATCCCCAGATCCAAGCACGCGCACCATGTATGGTGCTGTCATCGTGTGTGTGATCTCGTTGTTCTCGTTGTGCTGCTCCCGCTGCAGACTGGGCGCCACCTAGTCACCCACCTGAACCCAGAGACACCCCTGGCAACAGCAGCAGGTACAGTGGGTTACAAGTGTTGAAATAACGAAAGTATTTATACTTAGAACCTGGCTTTTATGGCACAAAGAATATGTTTTACGAAGCAAAGTTAAATCGTATTTTGGGAGTTTCAGTCTGTTTTGAAATATTTTCTGGCATTTCTTAAATATCTATATTCCTTTTAGAAGAATTAGTTAATACGAGTGTCAGTTTGATAATAATAATAAGTCTCATATAAAATATTTAAATTATGAAAAACCTTTTAAAAGCTACTGATTGATTTACTTTTAAACGAAGTTCTTTGCTTATTAAATATTTATTCATATTAAGTTATATGAAATCTAAAACTAGCTTAGAACTTCAATTGTATATTCCAAGTTTTAATTGAATTTTAAAGCAAGCAAAACCTAATTGTTTCATGTAATAGAGGAACTAATGAAGCCCTCATTGGTTTTCAATTATATCAATCAGATGCGTGTCTGAATTTTGTATTAAATTGCTTTCTTTAAAAGGTTAAACAATTATATTTTCAATTACTGCGAAATGAACTAAGTAAGACTTGAAGTAATACATTAGTAAATAGGGCACAGCATTTCTTTATTAGCTTGCTATTTAATAAAATAAATAACTACATTTTTGGTTGAATATTATTCAAGTATTTATGGCATTTTGCTCCACTGTTCTTTCTTTGGCACAAACCCACACTGACTCTCCCTCTCTTTCCCTCTCTCCCTCTGTTCCTCTGTCTTGGTTTCTCCCAAATCTTTGCTGTTCATTTCTCCCACTCGTATTCCCCTCTCCTCCCCCTCTCTTGACTCATTAACCAAACGTTCGTTCGTTCGTTCACCTGGCAAATACCAAACAAACCCAGACAACAGACAAATGACATGAGCTTTGGCTTGATTAACCAAATGTTTCCCTGTTTTGCGCTAATCGTTGCAGGTGGCCATCAAGATTATAGACAAGACATGTCTGAACGAGGAGTACCTGAGCAAGACCTTCCGCGAGATCTCGATCCTGAAGTCCCTGCGCCACCCGCACATAACGCGGCTCTACGAGGTGATGGAGTCCCAGTCGATGATCTACCTGGTGACTGAGTATGCACCAAATGGTGAGATCTTTGATCATTTGGTGGCCAACGGAAGGATGAAGGAGCCGGAGGCGGCGAGGGTCTTTACCCAACTCGTGTCCGCCGTTCACTATTGCCACCTGCGCGGAGTGGTGCATCGCGATCTCAAGGCTGAGAATGTTCTGCTCGATAAGGATATGAACATTAAGGTAGAAAGATTATTTCTTATAAATAGAGAAATATATTAACTATATACTTTATTCTTTTAACAGCTCGCTGACTTTGGCTTTAGTAATCACTACGAGGAGGGCGCCACTCTGAGGACTTGGTGCGGCTCACCGCCATATGCTGCTCCCGAGGTGTTTCAGGGCTTGGAATACGATGGGCCCAAGTCGGATATCTGGAGTTTGGGTGTGGTTCTCTATGCCTTGGTCTGTGGGGCTTTGCCCTTTGATGGCAAGACCATTCTGGAGCTGAAAAGTCGTGTGGTTTTGGGGAAATTCCGGATTCCCTTCTTCATGTCGCAGGGTGAGTTGGAAAGAGTGTACTCAGATTAAAAGGTCTTGGATATATTACAAAGCTTAAACCTTTTTAGAATGCGAGCAGCTGATCCGCAATATGTTGGTCGTAGAGCCAGATCGTCGGTATACCATAAAGCAGATCATCAAGCATCGATGGCTCAGCGAATGGCAATCGGAGCTGCAGGAGGAGGAGCGCTACGAGGCTTTCACCTGCTCGGGAACGCTGTCAAAATCGGCTTCCGCCTCCTCCCTAGGCAGCAGCAGTGCTCCGGACTCACCGCCGCAGCTGGACTCGGTGGTGATGACGCACATGCTTCAGCTACCCGGGCTGACTGCCGACATGATTGCCCAATCGGTGCACGAGCAGCGCTTCGACAACATCTATGCCATATACAACCTGCTGCAGGACAAGCTGCTGCAGCGACGGCGCGACAACCAAAGACTGCAGCACCATGCCAGCCTGGTCTACTCCCGGTCCCGCAAGACGAGCATAACGACGGGCGTGGTGGATCGCTCGGAGCCCGTCAAGCAGGAATCTCTGGACCGACTGAGTCCACTGAGCAGTGCCACCAATGCCTCCAGCACGGCATTGGGCTTTGGCTGGTCCGATGTGGCCGTGGATCTGGAGAAGTACGGAGATTTCGAGCTCGAATGCCTGGCGCGATCCAATGAGGTAAGTATTATTTGCCTTAATTAATTATTACCAATCTAATGTCCCCTTATTTACAGCCTCCTGTCAATCCGCAGCACTTGAGCGCCCAACCGGGAGGTGGAGTCAATGGAGCGAATACCCGACGCCATACAGTGGGACCCGGGGATGTGGCCCACGAACAGGCACTGGCCAATCCCCATGTGCCGCCCATTGACTTCAAGTGCCCGCCACAATGCAGCGATCCTGCGCAGCCCACGACGGTGCCCTATTATCCCATGAATCTGCCCATGCTGCAGAACCAGCCGCTGCACAATCTCACCATCAAGGATCAGCATCTGCTCAAGCCGCCGGTGGTCATGGGAGCCAGTAAGTGTTACCACTTTAAGGGGATTTCCATTTATTAATTATGTCCTTCTTATTTCAGGCTCCTTTGGGCGACGTGCCTCGGATGGCGGCGCCAATCTTCACATCTATTATCCCGCCACGGGCACTGTGGGTGGACCAGCTCAGGGCCAGCAAATGGACACCGCTGGCTACTATATCAATCCCAATTGTGGCACTGATCCCTCAGCGGTCCAAGAGCTGTCGCCGCTCAATGAGCAGGCAGCAGCTCAGATGCATTGCTGCCAGGAGAACGATAGTGGGGAATGTAATGAGGAGCTTCAGAGGTTTCTACATTTACTCCTATTTATTGGGTGTATAATTTTAAAGCCTTATTTCCCCCGTAGTTATATGCAAAAGCGTGGTCTGGGCAAGCGTCATACTGTGGGATGCACGGAAGATCTCTCTGTGACACATGGTCCGGGTCCAGGCTCTCAAACGCAGGCGCCAACTACCTCCAGCAACATGCGACAGAGAAGAACGGGTCTGCTGACGGTCACCGAAAGGCCGCCAGGTGCGTAAATATTATCATTTCACTAAATTTGATAGTTAATAGTTGAAGATATTTATCAAATGTTTAATCAAGATCAAAGCTTTATAGTCAGTTAGAAAGTTAGTATAGAGTAAAGTATAAATATAAATATATTAAGGAAGTTAATCTTATTAGGCTTTCAAATTGTCTTTTAAAACCATAAAATACACATTTTTATAAAAAGACACCCAGTTGCCAAGCATTTTATTTAATAATTTCATTTAATTTGTTTTTCCTGACCTATTTGATTATTTTCCCAAATAAATTAAGAAACTGAAGCAGTAATGCTGTTTAAAAGTTGGAAAAAAAATTTATGATACGATATTGAATAATTTTTATATAAATATCATACTGTTTTTTTGTTTCAATATATTTGCATTCTTTATTAAAATCAAGCTTATTATTATATATATTTAAAATGCTTCCTTAAATGATATTTACAGCATGGCTTCATAAAAAGCTTTTATTTAGCCATGAAATGGCTTAATTGATTTTATTATTCTTTTATTAATATCTGAATAATTTACTGATTTAATTATATTTATATATTCATTTTATTGTTTTTATTCAAATTAGTATATTAATTTGATGTGTTTTATTTTGCTTTTTCCCGTTTTCTTTTTATGTAAAACCTTTTTTTGGTTAATTAATTTTGCATCGCCTGCAACTGCACCACAACGACTGACCACCACCTGCTACTGCTACCGCTCCCGAAATTCTCGCTGCTTGAATACCGCCTCTGCCCTAACCCCCGCGTCGTCCAGTGATTCCCCCCGAGCTCATACGCGAGGTTGAGTCTCGCATGAACCGTGACTACTTGCCGCCCACCTTGAAATCTCTTAGCCAATCGCCACCGAATGGCACATATCCTGTGGGTGTGGGCCCCATGGGCATGGGCATGGGCAAGGGCTTGTCACCGCCCCACTCCCTGCCCCTGGTTGCATCTGCGGGCGCGGTCTCCTCCGTCCCACTGGTGGCGGCCAATAATCGGCGCAATTATCGGGCTGTCCACTCCAAGTTGCCCACCGTTCAGGAGGGTGGTAAGTCTCGAGTTCTTGTTGCGGTCATCTCAATTGGGTGGGAGTTGTGACTAACCAAAGTGCTTAAAAAGTATATATTGTATATATAACATTAGTAAGAATATGATAAATTTAATTAAATAACTTTTTTTCTTAAGAGAAATCTTTATTATCATATTTCATAAACAAGAAATTAAATTCTACGTAAACGTTAAACTTTGAAATGGGTAAATTTAAATTCTTAAGCTTATCTTCATAAAAATAGAAAATAGAACAGATATAGTAGTCCGATTTACATAAAATTTGACACAAAATTCTAAATTAATATATAATGGCTATATACCAAATTTCATGAAAATCTGTTGAAAACTGTAAAAATTATTATTTAATATTATTTTTATTAAAATTTTCCGATCGTTCCTATATCAGCTATATATATGTATATATATATAGTCCTCCGATTTGCCATGCTCCGACTTATATACTAGTAAAATTATATAGACGAATAACTCTATAGTTTCATTCAAATAGCTTAAATTTGTTCCAAAACAAATCTCGCACATCTGTGCATATGATTCCCAACTGGTTCTAACATCCCCGGAACGAAGTGCCTCCTACCGGCCACGTCTCAGAAATGTGTTGTGTTACAAAAGTTGCAAGTCATTGTTTATTAGTGTTCAAAGTTAATTTCTGGTCATAGATACTTACTGATCATGTTTACTTAATGTGCATTGATACTTACTGAGCATATTTAATTACTGGTCATAGATACTTAGTATCCAGAGTTACTTAGTGCTCATAGTTACTTATTGTTCATTGATACTTGGTGCTCATAGTTAATTACGCATCATAGTTAATTACGCATCATAGTTCTATAAATCGTCCGATTGTTCCTATGGCAGCTATATATATATACATATATATATATATATATATAGTCCATATATATATATATATATATAGTCCATATATAATAGTAAAATTATATAGAAGAACAACTCCATAGTTTCATTCAAATAGCTTGATTTAAATTTGTTCCAACAAATCTCGCACATGTGCTTATGATTCCCAACTAGTTTTAACATCCCCGGAACGAAGTGACTGCTGCCAGCCCAGTCTTAGAAAAGTGTTGTGTTACAAAAGTTGCAAGTCATTGTTTATTAGTGTTGAAAGTTAGTAACTGAACATACATACTTACTGATCATAGATACTTACTCATCATAGATACTTACTGATCAGAGTTACTTACTGGTTATAGATACTTAATGTTAATTGATAGGTGCTGATCATATTTAATTACTGGTCATTGATACTTAGTATTGAGAGTTACTTAGTGCTCATAGTTACTTATTCTTCATTGATACTTGCTGCTTATAGTTAATTACTGGTCATAGATACTTGCAGATTATAGTTCTATAAATCGTCCGATCGTTCCTATATCAGCTATATATATGTATATATATAGATTTGCCATCCTCCGATTTATATCCTATAAAATTATATAGAAGATTAATTCCATAGTTTAATTCAAATAGCTTGCTCTTAAATTTGTTACAAAACAAATCTCTCTCTGTACATATGATTCCCAACTGGTTCAAACATCCCTGGAACGAAGTGACTGCTGCCAGCCAAGTCTTAGAAAAGTGTTGTATTACAAAAGTTGCAAGTCATTGTTTATTAGTGTTCATAATTACTTACTGGTCAAAGTTACTTACTAGTCATAGATACTTACTGATCAGAGTTACTTACTGGTTATAGATACTTAATGTTCATTGATAGGTGCTGATCAGAGTTACTTACTGGTTATAGATACTTAGTATTCAGAGTTACTTACTGCTCATAGTTAATTACTGATCATAGTTAGTTAATGTTCATTGATACTCACTGACTATAGTTAATAACTGCTCATACTTATTTACTTACTGGTCATAGTTATATAGTATTCCAATATTCATAAAACTAAAAACGAAATTCTATATTTATAACCACCTTAATCCCCTGGTTAAGTTAATTGATCAAATTTAGTTAAGTTTCCCCTTTTGACTGTGGGTGTGTGTGTGATTCAATTGGTTAACCATTTCCTACCATTTCCTTCCTCTCTACTTTTACTTTGTCACCTTGGCTGCTTTCTTACGATTTAGCGACAATAGGACGTTATAGTCCAGTGCGTCGGGCGTCGGAGGGATCCAAGAGCCAGTTCCAGGGTCCGCTTCAGGAATGCCAATCCCTGCAGAAAGGTATTGCACAGAGAAACTTTTTGGTTGCACCCAGTCCGCCGCTTTTAGAAAATTCGATTAGTCTGCCAGGTAAGAAGAACGATAACGAGACCCAAATTAACAGCAGAAGCTTAAGGACACGAGCTCTCTTGAAATGTGATTAATTTGATGATTTCCCTTCTCCCAACAGGCTCCCCATACATGGCAAGCCGGTCATGGGCCTGCAGCTGACTTTGCGACGTGGCCATGACATTGAAGTTCCTCCGGAGGCCATCAAGAATCTAATGCCCGCCTTGGACCGCCTGGTCAAGGAGCAGCGGGTGAGCTTCGAAATAGCCAACAAGATAATCTCAACGCACGTGGTGCCCATGGAGCTGGCCCACCTGCTGGGACTGGCGGCTCATGCCTCCAGCGCGGCGGCGGTGAGTGGTGGGCACCTGGATCAGAGCCACTTGCTGCACCATCAGCAGCAGCAGCAGCAGCACATGCACAGCTTCAGTGTGTCGCCATTGAGTATGCCACCGCAGGGTGGAGCTGTGAATGCCTCGCTGGCTTTATCCTCCGCCAAGCAGATGTTCGGTCAACCCATCTGCGGCTACCAGCAATATCAACCAATGACGTTAGTCCTGCAGCAGCCGCAACAGCACCACCAGCAACTCCAGCAGCAGCAGCAGCTGGTGGGTCAGTTCAGCAGCATCAATCTGGGCGCCGCTAGCAACTCCAACTCGAGCAGCGGCTGCCAGTCGCCGGTGTACAATAGCAGCAGCTTCAGCGGCAGCTGCTCACCCAATCCCTATCTGCCCGGCGGTGGTGGATCCTCGCCGCTCCATCAGATCACCAAAGGCATTTCGGGTTTGAGCACAGGCTGCGCCGGTGGTTCCATCACCCGTGGCACTTCGGCGGCGTGCGAAGGAGCAGCGGCAGCTGCTGCGGCGGCCAATCAGCCCTTGGACTTATCCATGGATGTGTGCGGGGGAGTGATGGATCAGCAGCAGCCAACGGATTATGCAGCCACCAATTGGTTTATGCCCGCGGCAGCCTCATTTTACGATCTGAAACCACTGAATCTGTCGCCAGCACAGCCTGTAAGAGTGGTGCCCACACCCCCGGCCTCGCCGAACTTGTGCATCATCCAGGAGGAGAACGGAAATGGGCAGATGTGCCATACCATAAGTACGGGAACACCATATGCGGGGTGTACCGGCGGCATAACGCCACAGATCTGTCTCACCGATGTCCAGGGCAGTGAGATCACCCTGGTGGCTTTATCCTCGGATAATAGTCGGGATAGCGAGGATTCACTGGAGCCGCACACGCCGGTTATGTCGCTGCAGGTGAGTCTTAACCACACTGAACAATTGCCACATGGTCTAAACCACTTTATGTTTCCTCTAGGGTCTTATTATCACCGAACCCAGCAGCGATATGCCTTCGATAACCCGCGGCATTGGACGCAAGGCCAGCCTGGACTGTGAACCAAGCGGTGGTGGTGGAGGAGGAGGAGGAGGTGGAGTCAGCCATTGCCCAGTGAATCCGGCACAATCACAGGCTCAAACCGAGGCCCAGTGCCGGCGGGGCAGCGACAAATCGCTGGGCTTCTCGGATGACTCTCTCAGCAACGACTCGAATAACCTGTCGCCCTGCCAGGAGCCCTCGGCCAGCTCCGGCTTCAAGTCGGACTCCCACTCGGAGATGGGTGATCACACGGAATGTGGCCATCTGACCCCCGATTCCATGTGCGACTCCCGTCGCATGTCCGATGAGATGTGCTATGAGGTTCCCCTGCCGCACGAATGCTCCAATCTGGACTCCACTCGAATCCTGGAGATGGTCAAGCAAACCATAGACTCGACCATGCCGCCAAAGGGATTTGTGTTGCACAAGGGCAGCATCAGCTCAGAGGACAGCGGGGCAGAGTCGCGTCACAGCAGTGCCTCCAATGCCTCCACTTCGAATCCCTTGGCCTGCGAAGCAGCTTCATCTCTACTGGCCTATGGCGGCGAGCCCACGACCAATCTTAGTTTGGAGTATTCGGGCGGCCTGCAGATCGAACTGCAGGTGTGCGAGGGACGCAGCCGCGATCATCACGGAGCGGCCAAGGGCATCAAGCTGCGACGCATCTCCGGAGATCAGTTCGAGTATGGAAAGATATGCCAGCAGCTGATTAGCACCATAACCATGCAGCAGGTGGCCGGCTAGGGAGTGCTAATCCCTGCCAGCCGAACTACTACTAGCCGATGACTACACTCGCCTTGCCTAAACTCTGCGTAGCTGTGATTAAAGCCGATATGTAGGATATATATAGAGCCATCCTAGGAGTAGGAGTAGGAGGAATTGAAAGGATAACCCCAACCCCGCGTTCCCCAATTTCTCCCCCCGTTTGAGTAGGATAATCAAAATTTTTTCAATATCAATTATAGACACTGTTTTTTGACCGATTTCTTAGCTAGCTTAATTGAAAAACGGAACGATACGGAACGGAAATTGTATATAGAAATTGTGTAGAAATTGTTTACATAATCGCTAAAACTATATTATATATATTAACTAACGATTTACGCACAGGCCAACATATATATAGTTTAGGCAAAAGTAATATACGGTTTAAGATGGCTCTATTCAAGAGTTGATTAAAAGCCAGGAGGAGGACCCATCTTAAAGCTTATATTACCTTTGGTTTAGGGAATTTGGCTGGCGAAAATGGGTAAGAACAACTCGTAAAGAATACATTCCAGTAGCAGAAATTTTCATACAACGTTCGTTCTAGCCGTAATTATCCATATTTAGGAGCTAGACTATATTAAATATTATATTACATAATATAACTAATGTTATTTTCGACCTTTTGTGCAATTTGTCAAGTGTTTATTATTAGTTTTTGTCAAAAACTCAGTTCAAATGACTATACGTACATACGTTCTATATCTGGCATGTGGGATATAGATAGGCGCCTAGAAATTATTATATTAAATATTGTGTAGTTAGCATGCTCCGATTTAGTGTTAAGCTCTTTCCGATTCCGTTTTTTTAATGAGTGTAGTGAAAGTCTGTTCAGTTATATACACACAAAAGATCTACGGATAGAGGTTTATTCTACGGATTAACACACACACAACAAACATTGATAAATCTATTTTTTAATGAAAGACTGCTGTGATTTTAAATGTAATTAATTAATTTAAACAAAGGCAAGACAAAGGAGGAAAAGGAGTTAAGAAAACAAACAAAACAACCTTGAAACCAATTAGTTATATCATTATATTAATAAATAATTCAACTTTATCTTAAATAAATTACCAATTCTTCAAAAATATTACGATAAATGAATTTTTATTTATTTGTTCATGGGCAATTTAAATTTAAATTAATTTTATTTAAAACAAATAATTAAAAAGTAATTTTTCTGGGAATTTTTATGGATATTAAATTTATTTTAAAATGTTAATTTTTTTAAGAAAGTTATAGATTTTATTCAAGAACATAACTAAGTCAAACACTGATAAATTTTTATGTGGATTGTTTTTGTAATTTTTTGTGAAAAATCACAGTGTTCAAAATTTTATAAAAAGGCCAATAATGCATTAATTTTTATTCGGAAAACTGTGCTACGCTAGTTTTTACCAGGTCAATAAATCTGCATACTCAATAATATTAAAAAAAAATGAATTTAAATTAATTTTTCCAAATTCAAACTAAGTAACCCCAAATAAAAAATTTCAAAAATTAAAAAAAAAATATTTTTCCAAAGATAGCCAGATCGAATCAGTTTTTGATGCTGATCAGGAAAATATAAGATTTATATCGGAAATGACTCCTTACAGACTTACAAGCATTTGAAAAAAACTATAATACCATTTTTAGTCGATATTTTTTAAAATGTTATACGAAAATTTGTTTTACAAATCAAGTTTAAACATCGCATAACTAAGCAAAAAATGCATTAACTTAAATTCAAAAAGCCTTATGTTAGTTTTTACCAGGTTAAAAAATCTGCATACTCAATTTAAAATTATAAAAAAAAAATTAAAATTTTGCACTTTTTCCAAAATTTTACAAAGTTAAAAAATTGAACAAAAATGATGTGTCTTTTATAGGAATATAGATTAATATAATTATATGATCATTTTTATTGTGAAAATCGCAGTTTTTCAATTATCATAACTAGGCCAAAAATGCATTAATTTTAATTCGGAAAACTTTTTTATGCTAGTTTTAAACCAGGTTAACAAACAGGGACATTAAGATAAATACAATTTGTTTTTTTTTTTAATTTTTGACTATTTATATAATTTACAACCCCTTATAAAATTTTTGGAAAACATAGTTAAATTTATTTTTTTTGCCAGATATACCCAAATCGACTCGGCTGTTCATGCTGATCAAGAATATATTCATTATTCATTAATTATTATAGTTTTATTTGAAATTATTTTCTGAAAATCAAAGTTTTACAAATATCATATATGACAAAAAATGCATTTTTTCAGCTCAAAAAGCTGAACTATGGTAATTTTGAAATAGGGTAAACTAATAGCAGATTTTATTTACAATAAAAATTTAATTTTTTTACAATTTTAATTGAACCCTTATACAATTTTTAAAGACCTGGTAATTTTTAAATAAATAAAATAAAGTTTTAATATTCAATAAGCAACCAGTCCTGCCAACTTGTTCACTGTCAGTCTGTGTTTCTCTTTTGGTATTTGCGTCCAACTGTAAAACGGTCACATTAAACCATCGCAAAAAATCAACAAACTAATTTTTTTTTGTTGTTTCTGAAACGTTAAATAAAGAGTTTAATATTTTATGTATTAATCAATCGACTTGCCAGCATGATTTGCCGCTTGTGCCTGAACAGTGTCAACGATGCGGACACGCTGCAGATCTTCGAGGGCCTAGGACTTTCCCTGAATGTGGCGACGGTGCTTTCCAAACATTTTTGGTTTGAGGTTTGCCTGTTTTCTTTTTACTTCTATTAATATTTGTTTTTTAATTAATGTAATATTAATGTAATGTAAATTATGTATACATTGCAGCCCAAAAGCGATGATCCCATATCCAAGGTGATCTGTGTGAGATGCTGGCAGCAGGTGAGCGATTTCCATGAATTCTATGCGGCGGTGGAGAAGGCTCATCGCTTGCTCACGGAACGCTTTTCGCTTAAAACCAGCCAAGAGCAAGCGAAAGTCGAGGTGGAAGAGCAGCAAGAGGAGGAGGAGGAGGAGGAGCTGCTGGAGTTCCACGAGCAGGCGGAGGATGTAGAGCTAGCGGACAGCGATTGCGAAAGCGGTTCCTTCAGTAACGAGCAGTTCCTCAGCGAGGTCATAGCCCAGCAAGAGAATTCCAAAGGCTTTAAGCCCTTGGAAGAGGAGCTCGCCATAGAATCAAAAGATTTAGAACCCAAGGAGGCAGAGGAAGAGGCGCCTGTACCAGCCGTTGTCCAAGAAGAACGGCGGGAAACCCGCTCAACAACCAAGAGTAAATCCCTGACGACAGCTGAACAGCCACAGCCGCAGCCTCCGCCCAAAACAACCAAGCCAAGCGCCAAACCTCGAGCTAAGAGAACCAGCGCCTGCAAGACCACCGCTAGCAAGCGCTATGCCAACTACAAGCAATGCATGCTGGACATCGATGCCAAGATCTCGGCCCACATGCGTCTCACCTGCGACGTGTGTCACGAGGGTCAGGAGACCTTCCTGCTCCTGTGCAAGCACATGATGCAGGCCCATCACCGCAAGGGCTATGCCATTTGCTGCAACAAGAAGTTCTACAAGCGATCCTTTCTCACCGATCACATTGATCGCCATGCCGATCCCGAGAAGTTCAAGTGAGTCCGGTAAAGTGGAGGCCAGCCCATCTCATAGAGAAGTGTTAGTTCAGAGGATTTTCTACTAATATGATATGTCGTTCCCTTGACAGATGCACGCAGTGCGATAAACGCTTTGCGGACAAGCAGTGCCTACGGAATCACGAGCTCCTCAAGCATCAGCCGGAGGAGGAAAAGACCTTCATGTGCGAGCAGTGCCCCAAGAGATACACGAAGCAATATCTGCTGGATCAGCATCGAGTTATACACAAGGAAAGGAATGTGGTGTGCGATATTTGCGAGAGAAGGTGAGTTTGGGCAAAGGCTGAAAGTAAATAATAGATCTTATCTCTTAACCTTCCTTCAAACAGATTCCCCAACCAATCCCTGCTCTGTACGCATGTCAAAATGGTCCACGGTAACTATGGCACCATGTGCGACATCTGTGCCCAGGTGATACGCGGCAGGGCGGCCTTCCAGCGCCATCAGTTGGAGCACGCGGGGGTGACAGAGCCCAAAGTGCAGTGCGATATTTGTGGATCGTGGCACAAGAATAAGCACAGTCTGAAGAAGCACGTCCGGCGGCACAATGGTACTGCCGCCACCTGTGATCTTTGCGGCAAGGTCTCGCCGAATAGGAGTGCCATGTTGAGCCATCAGCGCTATGTCCATCTGACGGATAGGAAGCACGAGTGTAGTGTGTGTCAAAAAGCCTTCAAGAAGGCCATTACCCTGAAGGAGCACATGACAATGCATACGGGCGAGGTGCTCTACAGGTGTCCCCACTGTCCCAAGACCTTTAATTCGAATGCGAACCAGCATACGCATCGCAGAAAGTGCCATCCTAAGGAGTTTGAGGAGGCCCGGAAGGCACGTAGCGAAAAACGAAAGGCCATTGAGGAGGAGGGCGAGGCCACCACCCATATACTGACCATATCAACGGATGGCGATGAGGGATCTCACAGGATTTTGCTAACCAACAGCGATGAGGATCTCAAGGCGGAGACCATCGAGTTCACTTTGTGTCTTAGTCCCCAAGCAGCAGACTGAAAGTCGAATAACAATCGTATTTAAAGCTCTGTGGTGAGAAAGAAACCGATTTTAAATAATTTAAAGTCGTGCACAGAGCCCTTTTATTTATAAGATCCTTAGGCTAGCAGCGATTAACAGAAATAGACGGAGATTTTTAAGTGTTATGCTCAGTATGTTTGTTCTGAGAAAATCCTAAATACTAACCCCTTTCGCAGATAATTTCCACAGCATTTGGTTCCATTAAGACAGACTCCAGGCAGCGTTGGACCGCTGATCCCAGAATTTCGTCCAGGAGGAAGTTTACCAAGCTGTAAAAGGGCTCGTGTTATAGGTGATCTTTGTAACTTATCTCCAGAAAACTCACTTTTCATCACTCACAAAGCGCCACAGATTCATCTGAAGATAATGGGCATCCACCTGGATCTGCTGCAAGCCATATTTGCTAAAAGTTCGCAGTCTCACGCACTCCAGCAAAGTCTGCAAAAGAAATACCTTAGTTATATTTCAATTGTTTATAACAAACCTCACCTTAAGACCAATTTTAATGATGCCCATTACGATGGAGGACTTTGTGAACTCCACCGAGGTAAAGATCTCCACTCGCTCCGAGAACAAACGATGTATGTTGGACACATAGCTGGACTCCAGCTGCGAAGGCGTATAGTTGGACCAGTTGGAACGATACTGCGGCTTGGAGGTGGATGCAAAGTTGCTGAAGTAGGTCTTTCGACTGGAATCGCTGCTGGCTGTGGTGCGGAAACCCGAAGCTGTATTTGCTGTGGCTTCGTACAGACTGGCCACCACAGTTTCTATGCTTCCCAGCTCCTCCACGACACGCTTCATGACGGCACGCACGGATCTGGGCTCGAGGCAGTTGAGCCAATCTCTGGTCTCCACGCTCTTTCTCAGCATTTGGGAGATATTGGTGCCCTGCAGCCGGACATAGGCGTCCAGGAGCGCCTGGGCTGTCTCTCGCATCTCAGCACAGATCTCCGTTTCGTGTGTTAGGGTGGCACTGTTTTCCGAATCGATTTCATAGAGATCATCCACGAGGGCAATCTGTGAATCAAAGACTTCTTTAGTAGTATTTTCTCTCAGCTATTTTCTGATACTCACCAGTATGTGCACGCCTTGCTGCTCCAACTCCAGACAAGTCTTGGAAAGTACTAGCAACAGGTTGGGGGGACTGGAGCTGGAGGCATCCCCGAAGCCGCACATCACCTTGGCTATGTGTCGGAGAAAGCCAATAAGCAGATTCTCTCGTATTCCCTCTACGCATAGTGCTCCCTTGTGCTCCGCTTTGATATTAAAAGACCAATCGGTACGCAGGAAAATAAGGAGATCCTGCAGCACGCCCTTGATCTTCTCCACCATGGCCACATATAAATTGCTGATCAAATCGCTCAGGTTTAGTCCCGTGGCTGCATCACTCTTGGCGGAGACCAGGGAAAGACGCACTGCACTCAAGCTATCAGCAAAGTGATCCTTGAGGTTCTTGGCATGGGCATCACACAGCTGATGGGCAGCCCCAATAATGATGGACACAGTGTTGCGTTGTACCTCTAATCCACGACAGATATTCCTCATGGCCTGCAGGCGACGATGAAGGCGATCCAGGGCACGCAGCATCACCTGAGTGTCTCCATAGCCAATGTCTGACTCGACACGATCCTGGACGAGAGTGAGGTACTTGTCAATGTTGGCGTTAAGGAAGATGTTCAGCTCTTGGAGGGCATTCTCCTGGAAATCGTCGCTAAGGAGGATAAGGTCTATAAGTAAAGGAGTGATCGATTCTTGAAGCTCTTCTACTCACCGCTCCTGCTCGTAGTGCTTGGCCACGAACATGTCAAAGTAGGAGGTCACCACCAAGGCCAGATCGTTGAGGAACCCATCGATGCCCATGTCCACAAATTCCAGCATGTCCCGCTCCGTCTGATCCTGCAGCATCACAATCTGCTCGTGGAGTCGCTTGCCCGCACAGGTCAGCATCTCGCTGGCCAGATCCGAGGTCTTCTCGTCCAGCTGTAAGAGCAGTTCCCCGATCTCTGTTAGAGATTGTGCAGTGTTTCCTGCCCGCTGGAAATCCTTTCTCAAGCGCTCCTTCAAATCCGCCATGATGGCATCGCAGTCTCGCTGAATGCCATCAAAAGAAGGCTGTCGTCCATATTGGGCAAATACCTTCTGGGCATGGAGGTAATCCTGCACAGCCTGGGCATAGTTCTGCTCCTCAATCAGCGACTTGAGCTTGGCTGGCAGTGTGGAAAGGAACTGGAGGCGCTTCAGCAGCGAGTGCTTCTCGGAGAGGCGAAACAGTTGGGAGCGCGTGCCCTGCAGGGTGCCCGTGATCTGCTCACTGAACGTGGTGATGGACTGCATCTTGGTCATCAGGAGATTTACATCCGTTTCCATCTGCTTGAAGTCGTCCTTCATGCGGCGTATGGTGTCCGTGGCGGAGATGAACTTGTTGTAGTTCTCGTAGACCAGAGTCTGCATGTCCGAGTGTAGGGTCTGCGTATCCTTGACCACCGCCGCTTCCGTGTCCATGATTTGTTTCAGGGAACAGTCCTGGCATCATCAAAAACAATCAAAACATATGGAATATGGTATATTATGGAATATTTAGCCCACCTTCAGCAGCCTTTCCAGGTACTTTTCTGCATCGAAACTAGAGCTGTCCATGTCGAAGGGATGTTGGGCATTCGTCTCAGCCATTTTTCAGACCTTACTTCCTTAAAACTAATTTAATAAATTAAAAACAAAATTTGTGAAAAGTTTGTTGTCGCTTGCAGTAAAAAAGATTGTTCGGTGTTGACAAACGCGTTACTTTTGGCTAAGCTCAACAGCTGATTTAATGAGTTGCCTATCGAGTTATCGTCATCGATGACACAAGTGCGCGTGTTATTTGAAGTTTGTACTTTCAGTGCAGCATATAAACGAGCATGTAAGGCTAAAATATGTTTTTAATACAAACAAAAAAGGAACAAATTAATGTGAAGCTTGTGAAATAATTCTAAAACAGCTCTATAAAAATTCTTAAGTGTCTAAAGTTTGACTTAAAATAAATAACATAAAGGAGGTGTTTAAGTGAAATAAAAATAATTAAAGTTTAAGTTTGAACCAGAAATAATCAATTTTAAAAATAATTACTTAAAATTATTAGACAGAAATGAATGGAATGTCTGCTGTGTGAGTAACTCGAATAGCATTTCTTTATAAAATACTCCTACTTAAAGAAAACAATTTTATGTAAACAATAATCAGTTTAATATGCGTTACTTTAATCTTGACTAGTTTTATATATTTTTAAGCTATGCTGTTTAAATCATTTTTCTTATTTTCTCTATTTGGTACCGTAATCTTTAATATTTAAGTACAATTTTTATGTACTATTATTTGTATATTTGTTTTTATTTTGTTTCCGACAATTATATAGTATAGCTTTCTTATCTCTTGTGACTGCAATAGCTTATAGGTCAGATAAGAGCTCTGTTTTAAAACGAGATGATAATGGGAAGATCCCTCGGAATATGTTTCTACTGATAAGAATACTCTACTTGTTGCTCGATTCCCCTCTATAGAATGTTGTAAAATCATTTCCAAAGGGTTTGTTGAGGCGTTCACATCATCATGCAAATCTTTCTCCTGCTCCTGGTATTAATCCTAACACTCTGGAACTCTGTTGTCACAGGAGGTGGGTATCTAAAACACACTCTTACCTAGTAAGTGAGTCTAATTAGTTAATCATTTTCCAGATTGCCTGACAGATCCTGTGACAATGCTCTGCATTCTGGACCCAAATCAGGGCAAATAGCCGTGTGTATGTATATATCCTTTTGTCCCAATAAAGTACGAAAGTGGAGCACGATGTGGGCTTCTAAGTAATTCGGCAGCAGTCTCCCCAGTCTGAGTTACGTGTGGCAAATCGCATTAAACATTCTACGCCTCCGTCCCCCTGCCCACAAAGGAGGCCCTCTACGCACACTTCAGACATCTTTTTTATTGGGGATTTGATACCCTGGAAATGGGGGAGTGATGATTTTGGTTAAAAGGTGGAATGAGAATTTAATTTTTATACCCTTCCAGGGTATTCTAATTTTAGTTAGAAGCTTGAAACACTGTGAAAGAATCATTTCCGACCCTATAAACCTTGATCAGCATTAACAGCTGAATCTTTCTAGATATAAAGGAAGAAAATAATTTTTGGACAATTTTTTCATCTTTTTTTTAGGGGTTAAATTAAAAGAAAATTGGGAAAAATGCAATATTTTTTACATTTTAATTGAGTAGGCAGATTTATTAACCTAATAAAAACTAGCATAGGAAAGCTTTCCGAATCAAAATTGTTTAATTTTTGGCTTAGTTATGATCTATTTAAAAATCCAATTTCCGATTTATTTTCAAAGTCCAAGGGTATACAACCTTCGGCTTCCCGAAGTGAAGATTTCTTTTTTGTCACAAATAATTTCAATAGGAAATCCTAAAATTCAAGGGTATTTCCTGCTTCTCAACCATAACTAGGCCTAATTCTGCCGAATTTTTTGTTAGGATTCTTATATACGCTGTTTTTTTTCGTGGGAAGTTTGTCTGCCCGCTGGCGACCGTGTCAAGTTGAATGAACATGGACAAGTTTCTGCCACTTTCGGAGGGGCAAAAATTCTCTATCCCTCTCTCTCTGTGCCATATCTCGCATCTGCGTCTCGTTTTTCGGCTGCTGTTGCCTCGGACTCTGGTGTCCTACTCCCCCGACCCCTGCTGGTCGTACTCTGCCTCCATTTGTGGCGGCTCATTTCAAATACATTAACATTTTGACCTTTAGCAAAAAAAAAAGGAAAAGAAAGTAAAAGAGAAAGAGAAGGAAAAAAGTTCGAGCTGTTGCCGGGGCCGAATTTAATTTCGAGTTGTGTGCAGATTGTGCAAATCACACGCTCTCCCTGTGTCTCCGGTCTCATACGTTTTCCAGTGAAACAAAAAATGTTAACAATAATATAAATAATAATTGTACAGGGGAGGAAGTACTCAGTTATTAGTTTTATTATAATTAAAAGTCAGAAAAGGTTTTAGTAAGAGTTATGGTATTCCAGAAAAAATATGTTGCCTACTTTTAGGCAATGTAACTTAAGCAAACCTTTAAGGAAATAAAAATATATGAAATAATGCTTTAAAAATCTCCTAAGATCTTTTAAAAATATTTTTAAGTACTCTTTAGATATCCCGGTATTTTTTATAAATTATTCTTTATTGCTTTGAAAAATATTCAAATATTTGACCAATTTCTGTGACATCTTTATTCTCTGTGCACAATTGGCATTGCATACCTGCAGGCACAGGATACTCAGGTAATCCAAACACACAGGGACATCACACACACACACACACACACACACCTACACACAACCCAAACACACACACATTCTCTGGTGTATAGCATGAACTTTGCTTTCATCAAACTGAAAATTGAATTTACGTAAGCCGAGCGAAAGTCGCACAAAAAATACGTGAAAAAGTAAAATAAAATACCTCGAGAAGGAAGAAAACGTCGAACGTGTCAAGGTCAAGTTGCCATTGTCCCAGTCCCCCCTACCCCCTCCTGTAAGCGGTGACTTTTCCACCCACTCCTTATACTCCTCATGTGTTTTGTGCAGTTTGAAGTGCGCCAAGTCGTTAAATTAATTTCAGTGCACTCGAAAGACTGGAGCAGCGGAAACTGGAGCACAGCGAGTTGGCGCTCATTTTAAACGGATTATGTGCACGGCATTGGAGGGGGAGTGGCTTAAGAGGGGGATGGTGGTGGTGGTGGTGGTGGTGGTGGTGGTGGGGCAGTGGGGCAGTGGCACCGGGCTGGCAGAGATTACTGCCAAGTGGCCAAGTGGCGCCCCGGCTAAAGTGAGGCTGCGTGAGTGGACAGCAAATGAAAGGCAAACACAAGTCGAGGAGCGGCATAACACACACACTCACACACACACACACACACACACACACACAGTTTTAAGCCAAAGTCAAAGAGCCAGTGGTTGTTGTTGCGGGGGAAATGCGGGGTCCCTGGGAAAACTCAACTGCCATGGCTGATTTCACTTCGAGCTTCAGCTGACACTTAAAAGTCGCTCGACTGTGAAAAAAATAAGAAGGAAGAAAATGGTAAAGCAAGAGAGTTTGAAAAATGTGCACATTAAATGGGGCACAATTGGCACAAATAAAAGCGTACAAGCACTTTTCTATTTAATTGGATTTCATTTTAATGAACAAATAAATAAATAGAGAAGTTGAGAGTATAATTAGGTTTTATTTAATTGAATAGAGTTTTGTGCTTGTATTGGAAAACGTAATACATTCAGAGTTTGTCGAATTCCCGAAGCCCATTTTGAATCAATTTAAAATGTGATAAATAAATAAGTTTAAAAATAATATAATAAATATTGTGTTGTTTTTAAGAGTTAGTTTCGAAACAGGATTATAAAATTAATACTTTGAATTAAATGAGATATTAAAAAATATTATAATTTTTTACTACAGCTATTAGTTGTAATAATTATAATTATAATAGATAATTATGAACGTTAAAAGCCTTTATTACAGTCATTCACTTAATAAACAAATGCCACGTGAAATGTCTAAACAAATGATTACTATAAAAACAACCGATGATTACAGTATAAAATAAAAACGAAATTAAATATGTCATAGTAAAGGCTCATTAAAAATTAGGTTTTCGAATTCTCTCAAGTGTTAATTAGAAGCCGAACTTTGTATACCCTTGGGATCGAATTTAAATCTATCATAACTCAGCCAAAAATGCATAAATTTCGATTCGGAAAGCTGTTCTGTGCTAGTTTTTATTATGTTAACAAATCTGCATACTCAATTTAAAATGTAAAGAAATTGAAATTTTTTGTCAATTTTTTACCTTTTAAAAAATTTTGAAAAAATGTTTAAAAATGTATGTTCTTTTTTTAATGCCTAGAAAGATTCCCCTTTTGATGCTGATCAGGAATATATATGATTATAGGGTCGGAAATGACTCCTTCACTGTAGAAAACTTGAAACTAAAATTTAGATACCCTAAAAAGTTATAAAAAGGTACGAACGAATATTAAAAATAACATAAATTCATATAATTTTCATTTCTCCATTTAAAAGGGATATATGTAAAAAATACATGTAGGAATCCCTATCAGCAAGTAAATAAAAAAAATGGAAACAACTTTTAGGGCACCATTCGAAGGACTCAACATTTATGGCTGCACTGCAATTTCTCTTAATTTTTTTTCAGCAACTTTAAGTACGGTGGAGGTTGTCAAGTGCCGAGAGTTTTATCAGCTGCCAAAGCAAATGCAATTTAAATGCATTCGCAAAAATAAAGACGAAGGATATGTGGCCATAAACACGGCCACACGCACACGGGACGAGGATATACATATATGTATACATATGAATTTCCCACGGAGGATTTGCCTTGGGCGGAGCCATAAATCTGCACGCAAAGTGCTTCCGGCCTGCCAGCCAAAAATGGCTGATGATTCCACTTCGAGGTCCTCGTCGTCCCTCGCCACCACCACATCCTTCAGCTCCTGGGGGCGCTTTAATAACGCCAAAGTGCCGGCCGCAGGTGTTTACCTGGGGAATGGGGAATAATGGAGGGCGCGGTGCTGCAAGGCAGCTCCCGGATCCTGGCATCCTGGGGAAAGCGATTGCCGTTGCAGCTGCATCTACATGGAAATCGCCTGGCTATCCGAGTACTATGTGTGTGTGTGTGTGTGTGTGTGGCACTTTGTGGATGCCTCCTGCATCCTCTGGCCGTGTCAACTGATAGGCAGCCCACAGCTTAATGGAGGCATTTCCACACCCTTTCTCCCTTTCGGTAAATGAATGCTGTTAAATCGGTCTAGCAGGCTTTACACACAGAGAAAATCGAGTAAAATTATAGCAAAAGGGGGAAATGTGTATGAAATTGATCAAACATAAAGCACCCAAGGATATTATATTATTTAGATTTCGATTTTGTATCTGTGCATTAGAAAGCCTTATCAGTGTGCTCAGTCCCTGCAGTTGTCACTTGGCCTTGTCAATTTTTTATTGCCCTTCGGCAGCTGTGTTTGACTTAGGAAAATGGAGGACATTCTCCTACGGAAGATGCTGTGTATATTCCGCTTTCGGGGTTAGCGGGTCACGTGCCGCTCTCGAGGTGCTCCGCCTGACCCCCCTCCTTTGGCTTTTCCACCTTCTCCAGCGACGAAATCAGTGTCGTGGCATCTTCGCCAGCAATTGAATTCAAATGAAGCCGGGGTTGCAAAGAAGAGCGGAGGTGTCGCCTCCTCTCCAGTAGAATAAATGCGATGCCATAAATCAAGCATAAAAATTGACATTAATTTTGCCCACGAGAGAGACAGAGAGAGAGAGAGAGAGAGAGGGAGGGAGAAGAAAATACCCAGGGAAAAAGGGAATTCAGTATCTGCTTACGTGCGGGGCTTTTCCGAATTCAATTCGCTGGCGAAAAGCTCTGCGCATCGATCACGCCCGGAATATTCAAGTGACAAAATCGGGGGCGTTAGAGAGTGGAACTCATCCTTCCACAAAATTAAACTTCTAAAATCTGTCACCCCTCTGGAAAAAGTTTTCCCATTTAATGCGATTCGTTTTGCGGTTTTTATGCCTAAATTGCCATGTCATTATATGCAATTAAAGTGCAACCTGTACTATGTTTAATAACAAATGTGTGTGCGGTTTTTTTTGTTGTAAAAATAACTAACTAACTAATTAAAACCGCAAAACAAACACAACTACTGACCACAGGTTTTTATTCACAACTGAAATTGGTCTGTGAGACGAAATAAAAGCGTTTATGGTCCAATAATCAGCATTTTATGTCTAAATTTAGTCAAAGGGTT